CTGGATTCATCTTCTCAGTGAGACACATGGCTGCTTCCCTGAGCCTTGAATCGGAGGCTTTTTGCATCCTGTCAGCATTTAGACTTCCTAATTATTTTTCTAAAATAAAGGCTGAGTCAGAGGACCTCTCTTTCCTCTACATTTCCTTGCAGCAACAATTTTCCATAACCCTCAGAGGAGAGAAGCTTATCTCGCATCTGTCCTTAGATTCCGTTCTCTACATGTGGCCATGTTTGTGCATTTTGCACAGTTCCCTAGAGGTTTTTTGCGCATCTTTTCTGTTAGTCTGTTCATTCTGGGGGTGTGGAGGAAAGGGACTAGACTAAGCTGGCTTTCAGACTGGCGAGAGGACCTCTCCCTCATGATGAAATTGTAGAGTGTGTGAGCGAGGGGGTGAGCAGGTGGAAGGTGAAGAAATGGTCGATGGAAACTTGGAACTGGTGAGGTTGAAGGTCACCAGTCTGAAGGCTCAAGGGGTCTGAGTCCTTCCTCTGCACCTAACAGGAGTGACACTGGAAAAATCAGTGAACCACTTTGGGTCTTGGTTTCCACCTGCAAAATAAGAGAGTGACATTGGGAAGATTCTATGGTTCTTCACATATAGGTCTCTCCAAATAGATTATGAATCACTTAAGTAAGGCTGTGATTTCTACATCTTCATAGTCATGGTGCCCAGTGCAGAGTCTGACACATCATTGCATCAGTTGGGCATGAATTTGTCTGCAAGTAACAGAAGCCCACTAACAGCTTTAACAGGCTTATTTTCTCCTATTACAAGAAGAGACTAGAGCCGTGCTGGTGTTGGTTAAGGTACTCAGTGGGGTCTTTGAGGACCTAGGTTCTTTCCATCTTCCCTTCCGTCATCCTGGGCATGTTGGCTTTATGTTCTCATTTTTGTCAACTCATGGTCCCAACATAGCTGCCACATTGCCAGGCATCACACCCACATTCCAGGCAAAAGGAAAGGGAAAGTCCCCAGTCATTTCTGTCCCTTTTATAAAGAAAGGAAAAGCTTTCTCCAAAGTCACATTGAGTTATGTCTCATTGGTCATAACTGGGTCACATGACCACTACCAGATAAAAGGGATTCTGGTGACAGCAGGTTTCTATTTTTTTAGCTTCTAGAGAAGGAGGCTGCAAGAAGCAGGGTAGATATGGGTGTTGGGCCCACTGAATATTTGTTAAATAAATAAGGTTAGAAAATAAGCTGTAAAAGGCTTCTAGTTTCTTAAATAGAGTGTACTAGGCAATTATTCTGAGGAAATAAACATTAAATTGGGTATGCTTTTAAGTGAGCCATACAACTATCTTGATTTTATACAGCAAACCAGGAATGGTCCAGGTTTTCTCGCAGGCATGGGGAAGAAAGTAGAACTAGACGTCAGGTCAGAGTCCATGAGGAACTCAGCATGGAGGGATTTCACTTTGGTGTTTTCCTAAGGGAATATTTTTTACGTACTCACTTTCAGATCAGAAAAGACATTTCTTCTCTCTTTTCCTGTTGGTCGTTTTCTTCGTGGGGCCAGCCAAGTGTAACCAGTTGAGAAATTCCTGGTTCTGACTGGTTTTCATTACCTTCTTCTCCGCACATGTTGTCCCAAGATCTAAATGGGCAGGGTGCCATGTTCGCCGTGAAAGGAAACTTGCCAAAATGTGGCAGGCAGCAGAATGCAATGTCTCTTCTTCACCAAGGAGCAGACCTGTTAACACGAATGAAAAGCTACATACAAATTGTTTAGCAGGTGCCTGGCACACAAGGCACTTAATAAATGTTAGTTGCTATTTTATTTCTATTCATAAAAATGATGCTTCTTTTCTCCCTGCCCACCTTATCTAGGAGGATCTACTTTTCCCATATTACCTAGATGTGCAAATGACAGGATCCAAGATTGAACTATGCAGTTCCCTGGTTCCACTTTAACTCCACAGGGTATTTCTGGGAGAACTCCAGGCAGGCAAGACATACCTGAAGTTTTCTCGGGCATGTTTAAAGTTCTCCGATTGGATAAACTGCTATCACATAAAACATGGTTTTCTAGGAAAGTAACCTGAAACCCTAATTATTTGCTTTCAAAACTTTTCTCCTCATGGTAACCACTCTATTTCCTGCTGGAATTTAATTCTATCAGTTTTCTCAACATAAAGAAAAATAAGCTATTGACAACTGGTATTTCTGTACAAAGGTACAAAGTTCTCTAGCAGAGAGGTCCGCTGCACAGATAGGAGGAGGGCTTTTGAATGCATTGCCTAATGCTACTTCACAACACGCACCTGACTTTCTCGTATGTTGTACATTAACAGACACGAAAAGAATAAGAGGTCAATAGTGCATTGTCTCACTCGCAAGGCAGTCACTGAGTTACAGAGACAACTGTGGAAGGTGGACTCATCTGTTACTTGTCTCTAACTTTTCTTTCATCTCTCCATTAGCTTGGGTGGTAGTGAAGTGTAATGATTAGGAGGCCAGGCTTAGCAATCAGAGTCCTAGGTTTAAGTCTTGACTTTGCCATTTTCTAGCACTCCAACTTCGGACCCATTACTTCTTTTTACTGAACTTTATTTCCTTATCTACAAAGTGGGCAAATTAATATCCACCGCACAAAAATTATTTTGAGCATGAAATATCATACTATTTAAGAAAGTGCTTCATAAAGTGCTCAGTTGCAAGTTCAGAAAACCCAACACAAACAACTTAAGCAAAAGGAGAATGTATTGAGTCACATAATAAAAAACAGAACTTCAGGTATGGCTAGATCCAGGGGCTCAAACACTGCTACCAGGTCCAGATTTCACTCTACTTTTATTATACTTCCTTCCTCATTGGGCTTATCTTCAGACAGGTTCTCCCTTGGTAGGGTACAGAGGCTGCAAGAACTCCAGTCTTTTCCTCCAGTTTCTAGTCCAGTGGGAAAGACAAAGCCTGTCTTTCTAGATGTTGCATGGGTTGGGTGTCAGGAGCTACTAAGGAACCTCAGGTACTCTAAAAAGCCACCTGCTCAGGAAAAGCAGGAGGGCCTGGCCAGCTCGGGCTCACAGAAAGGGCTCCTTCTGGGAGCATGCTGAGGGATTAAAGCATAGCCCAGGCTCGAGAGGGTCACGTTCTCTCCAGACAGAGTCCCAGCAAAAGTGTCACGGCATCTCATTGGCTCTGAATGGATCATCCCTGAGCCAATGCAATGTATGATTGATCACACCTGAGCCAGGAGCCTACCTCTGGAGCAAGGGGTGGAGTCAACACCACCTGTCAGCCTGAAAGTATGTAGTTTCTCGGAGGGAAATTGCCATGCTGTTACCAAAGGAGGGAGGGAGGGAGGGATGTTGCAAGGGTGGGAGTGAGGAAGAAAAAGCAAATTTCCCCTAGAATACCAAAAAAACGAAAGTGAATCTGTTCTTTCACACCAATCCTAGAATACTAGAATGGTGGAGTACTCTCTTGGAAAAAATGAAATTAGGCTAAATGAAGAAAGTGCCATTTGAAACAGTAGCTATGAGCTTATATAATTATTATTTCAAGAACTGAATGAAAATAAAGATTTTTGTGTTTAAATTGCCTGAAAGGTTCACAGTGAGAGACCAGAATGTTGCAGGGTGGGGGTAGGGTGGGGGTAGGATGGGGGGTGGCAGCTGGAACTCCGAAAACTCGTTCGTGGAGGACGACTGAATGCGGAGCTGCAAGGGCTGAGCCGCCTGAGCTCTCAGGGCGCCGGAAGGATGGATGGTAGGGCCGAGGGCTGGAGTCTCTGAGTCTGGGGCGTCTCCGTCTTGTCTTGTGGAATGCCTGCCCCTGCATAAACATCTTTCGTTTGAGTTCTGCAAGGATGATTCTAGGAAGCTCCTCCCGCTGGCAACTGATACGCTCAGCCTGGGGTGGGGTCCAGAAGTCTAGATTTTTTTTTTTTTTCAGAAGTCTAGATTTTTAACACGTTTTCTTGCTGCCAGGACTGGTGTTTGGGATCCGGTGGGGCTCTGTTCACTCCTCCCTGGCTGCACCACACACTCTGTTGACACTGCTGTCCCCCTCCTCAGATAAGAGCCCCCGAAGCGCAGTGACCCGCGCAGCACGTTGCAGAGCGTGGCACGGTGCTTGGCCTGGAGCGAGCACCCAGTAAACATTGGTCGAAGGAATGCGGAGGACAGAGAGGCCAGCAGGCCAGCTGCCTTTTCCCATGTGCACTTTTCTGGGAAAGAAAAGCTTCTACTTCTGGAAAGCACTGCCGGGATTGAGAAAAGTCCATGACAGTAAAAGAAGAAAGGACACCGTCGGAAAAGGCTCATGGTTCCCCGAGACAACACATCCGTTTAAAAGATTCCTCCAACACTTTAATAACAACAGTGACAACGCCAGTGACAATTTTTCATGAATGGAGCTCCGTGCCAGTCACTGGGTTCGCACTTCACGTGTGATTACCTCATTGGATCTTCATGGCGATCGCGCGGGTCGACAGTATCACACCCCATTTCACAGATGGTGAAAGGGAGGTGCAGGGCGATGTAGCTGGTCCAGGAGCAAACAGTGAGGAAGTGACAAGGCTGGGACGCTGCGGCCCAAGGGTGTCATCCCTGCCACACCGCCGCTCACATCTCGCAGGTCTGACAGCACAGTTCTGGAGCCAGCACCTGCACAAGTGCCAGGTGCCCAGGTCCACCCTAAACAGTAGCATCCCGCAAAAATAAGAGACAACGGCGGAGGAAGTCAGAGGAAAGCCAAAGACCGCTCAATAAAGAGGCCACTGTGCACTTCTCCAAACAGGCTATTTTCTTTCTCATTTTTATTCCCCTGCGGCGTGCTGAAGGTCACCAGCTACGTCTGCACAAGCCGGTGAAGTCACAGAAAGGCATACTTGGCAGTGGAATCCTGGATGGAGGGGCGGGGAAGATGGGGACAGAGCAGGGGGAGGAGGTGAGGCAATTCTGCAGCGAGGGGCAGGCTGGCCTGCTCTTCCTCCCCAAACCGGCCCAATGACCTTCCTCCCTCGCTGACCACTCCCCTGGGCTGGCCTCCCGCACTCACAAACAGCCCAGGCTGGGCTCAGCCTGTGTTCCTGCGGCCGGCTGGGTGCTGCTCCCTTCTTGGAGGGAAAGCTCTCTTGGAAGAGCCAGAAAGGTGGGTGCCGAATTGAGGTTCATTTTGTTCTTCTCGGAGTATGCTTATTAGGAGTCTGAAGCCAGGGTGGGGCAGTGGGCCTCTTCCTGGGAACCTATTTGATCATCTTCATGAGGGAAGCACACCTCATGACAGGCCTGGCTGCTCTGAAGGGGGTGAGCGGGGAGGTGGGGGCCCGGGGGAGGAAGGCAATGGGGGAGAAAGAAACTGTTCCTCCTTCAGACCTGCAAAGATCAGGCCAAGAGGACTTTGGCGTTAGAGTGACGAAGGCTGCCTTTCCAGATGTTGCATGGGTTGAGTGTCAGGAGCAGCTGAGGAAGCTCAGGTGCTCTAAAAGCCATCTGCTTAGGAAAGGCAGGGAGGGCCCGGCCACCCCAGACCCTCAGCAAGGGCTCCTTCTAGAAGCAGGCTGAGGGATTAAAGGACAGGCAAGGCTCAAGAGGGTCACGTTCTTCCCACACACAAACCCAGGAAGGAGAAACAGGCTTGGTGGCTCCCTTTGGTTGAGGACAAGCATCTCTGTCCCCTTTCTCTGATAAACCTGTCCTTCCCTCCAGACCCACGCACAAAGCAGGCCTTCAAAAAAACCCACTTGGGCCGGGCATGGTGGCTCACACCTGTAATTCTAGCACTCTGGGAGGCCAAGGCAGGAGGATGGCTTGAGGTCAGGAGTTCGAGACCAGCCTGGGCAAGAGCAAGACCCCGTCTCCACTAAAAATAAAAAATTAGCCAGACAACTAAAAATATATGGAAAAAAATAACTGGGCATGGTGGCACATGCCTGTAGTCTCAGCTCCTTGGGAGGCTGAGGCAGGAGGATCGCTTGAGCCCAGGAGTCTGAGGTTGCTGTGAGTTAGGCTGACGCCTCTGCACTCTAGCCCAGGCAACAGAGCGAGACTCTGTCTCAAGAAAAAAAAAAAAAAACCTACTTGGTCATTCACAGCTCAAACTGAGCCTTCTGAAGGTGACCTCAAGGGGGAGAGGAGTGAAAGGCATAAGAAACAAGGTGTCAGAGTTTACCTGGATTTGAGGAAGAAGGAAGAATTTTCTTCTTTTTGTCTGAAGAGAAAAACATCTCAAAATGTCTATTACCCAAACATGCTTGAGAAAGAAAGCTCACTGACACACCCAAAACAATCTGGTTTTGCTCTGCATTTTCAAGGAAGAAATTTCCAAGCAGTAGGGCCCCCCTCAGTGGCAGAACCGCCTCCGGATGATGATGGGGAGCTTGAGGCCAAGGCCTGGCAGGGGTATTCCCCCACTTCCTTGCCTAACCCCTGGAAATTTGGGGCAGTAGTACCACACTAGGCCATGTCATTTAGGTGGGTCCCTTGACGTTACTTTCTCTGCTTCTCTTTTCTGGCTATTCCTCCTTAGAGTCTTTCCTGGGCACCTCCTCCTCCTCCCACGGCCTCCACAGCCTCTCTCAGTGAATGGTCCCAATATCTCTACCAGAAGCTTCTTTCTGACAGCTAGGAGCTGCCACTTACTGAGCACTTTCTATGCACCGGGCTCTGTTCCCTAGATAAGAGCTGCACAGTGTGGTGCCTAAACCTTGGGCTTGGAGCAGACCACACACTTTCAAATCCTGCCCTCAGCTCTTTATTGAATGTGCAACCCTTGGGCAGAACACTTGCTTCTCTGTGCCTCAGTTTCCCACACTTTAGAATAGGGATGATGATACCACCTACTGAATAATGTTCTTGTGAGGATGCAATGAATTAACACGTGCAAAGTGCTTTTAACAGTGCGTGGCACGTGTGTTCAGTAAGTGTTAGCAATTCTAATTCTTCCCAGCCTCACAGCAAGCCTCTAAGATAAGTATGTCCTATTACCCCTATTTGCAGATGAGAAAACTGAGGTTCAGAGAGGAGGTGGGCCAGTCTACAGTTTGCAGTCCAGCCCTGATTCGGCTCCTCTGCAATAGAAATAACGGTAACAGCTACCACTTAGAGAGCAAGTGGTAGTCAGGCTTTACATTCACGAGGTGAGATCCAAAATCCATACTTTTAATCACCACACTAAATTGCCTTTCTGTAATGGTTAAGAATACATACCCAATCTCCAAGTTTGTTTTTTAAATGGCACCTATTTAGAGTTGGAGAAGGCCCTTGAAAATGCAGTTGGCCTTCAAACCAGTTCTTTGGAAGTAGCATTAATCCCTTTGGGCAGATTTAAAAATGTGAAAATAGCTTGGCTTATATCTCATTTAATCCTCACTGAGATCCTCGGTGGTATTGCCGGCCTTATTTTACAGGTGAGGAACCTGAGGCTAGGAGTCAGTAACCCATGAAGTCACAGTTAGTATATGTTGGAATTGGGATTCAAATCTGTGTCTGACTTTGTAATTCCTGGCTGCGCCCCAGAATCTTTGATGGAGCTTTCTTTTTTTCTTTTTTTAAAATCAAACTCACTGTATCTGAATCTCCTGGGGTGGGGCTGGGCAATCTGATTTTTAAAAACCAAAATCCGATGTGCATTCAACACTGAGAACCCCTGCTTCATCTCTTCTTCTAAGAGCCAGACCTGAGTTTCCAACTGTCTGCCCAAGCGTCTCCCCACCTGGGCACCCTCAGCAGGCTCGAGTCGCACTGGTCCTCTCTCCCTTCTTCTCAGGACCTGGTAACCACCCTGCATCCACTTAGCGTTCCCTGCTGGGAACCTTCGTCACCAGCAGCTGCTGCTTTACCTTCCCTCTTGCCAAAGCGATCCAAGGTGTCTCCCAAACACGTGCCCTCCTCTATGTTTGCTGCCTCCACTTTGGTGAAAGCTTTTATCGCGTCCAGCTTAGGTTACCACAACAGCCTCCTAACTCACTCCCTGTCTCCATCTCCCCCTGGGCTATTTGCATTCCTCCTCCCCTTTCCTTTCCATCCCAAAGTCCAGCCCACATCCTATCTCTTGGCAGACTTAATGAACTAAAAACTATCTCATCACCCATTTTTCTCCTTAAAAACTTCCACCAGCACTATGCCCTGAAACGGCCTTCCTTCCTGGCTTGGCCAGAACTCCTACTCATCTTGTGGGACCCTGCTCAAAAGTCACCTCCTCTGGGAAGCCTTCCTGGAGTCCCCCCGGGAGATGGGCACTACCTCCTCCATTCCTCTTTAGCAGAAGGCCCCATCTTCAATTGTAGGATTGTGTTGGAATGATTTAATGACACGTCTGTCCCTCACTGAACTCCTCATTCAACAATCCCATATTAGATTTCTCCTATTGCCAGGTGTGGGCCCAGGAGCTGAGGATACTTATGAATAAAACTTGAGTTTCTGTCTTTAAGAAGCTCCAAGTCTGCTGAGTGTAGCAGAGACCAGGGAGAGGACACTTCAGAGAGAAGACACAGCACACGCAAAGACCAAGAAGGCAGGGACAGCAAGTCTTATGTGTATGTGTCTGAAAGGGAGGATGTAGAAAGAGGGCGACAGGGGACCAGATGGGGAGATTGGGGGTGGGGCTATGGAAGGGCCACGAGGCACCCTCCTTGCTATGGAGATAGGACTTGAGAGAACCGTGATCATCTGTGACTCAGATACCTGTGAGTCTCCTGAGATCTGCTCTCATCCTTCTTTATAACCACAGCATCTAACGTAGTGCCGGGCACACAGCGGCCCTGAGAAACATTTGCCAAATGCATGAACGCACCCTGGGCAAGGAAGCCCCTTGGGGGCTGGGCTGGAGGGTTGGATCTTTGACGATGGGGTCCCTGAGATTCGTATTTCAAGTGACTAAGGCTCGCTCTGCCCCCATCCCCGCGGGGGCGCCCCGCAGGTGCCCGACCCCGCCATGCTGGCGCTGCTGTGCTCCTGCCTGCTCCTGGCGGCCAGAGCCTCGGACGCCTGGGCGGACGAGGACCTGGGGCAGCAGATCCGAGACATGCACGCCAAAGTGACGGAGATCTGGCAGGAGCTCACGCGGCCGCGGGGAGACGGCGCGCCGGACGCCCCGCTCTACGCCCACTGCCGGGTGCAGCCGTCGGCTTCGCTGGACGCCGCGCAGCCCCGCGTCACCGGCCGGGTCCTCTTCCGGCAGCTCTCGCCCGGCGCCAGGCTCGAGGCCTTCTTCGACCTGGCGGGCTTCCCCGCCGAGCCGAACAGCTCCAGCCGCGCCATCCACGTGCACCAGTTCGGGGACCTGAGCCAGGGCTGTGAGTCCACCGGGCCGCACTACAACCCGCTGGCCGTGCCGCACCCGCAGCACCCGGGCGACTTCGGCAACTTCGCCGTGCGCGACGGCCGCCTCTGGAAGTACCGCGCCAACCTGGCCGCGTCGCTCACGGGTCCGCACTCGATCGTGGGCCGCGCCGTGGTGGTCCATGCCGTCGAGGACGACCTGGGCCGCGGCGGCAACCAGGCCAGCGTGGAGAACGGCAATGCGGGCCGCCGGCTCGCCTGCTGCGTGGTGGGCGTGAGCGGGCCCGCGCTCTGGGCGCGCCAGGCGCAGGAGCACACCGAGCGCAAGAAGCGGCGGCGCGACAGCGAGTGCAGGGCCCCCTGAGCGCCCCGACTCCGCGTGCGCCCCGAGACCCCACCCTGCCTCTGAGTTCTCTCTCCGCTCCCAGAGACACCCCGCACCCGACGTCTTGCCCTCACCATGGCTGAGGTCTCCCCCACAAACCCTCTCCACCCGAGGTCTCCCTGAATGTGCTGAGACATCCGCCCTTCCCTTCCATCCTGAGGGCCGCTCAGACCCTCCTAGCCCCCCACCCGGTAGCTCTGAGGGCCTCCGATTGTACTGAAATACCCCATGCACCCCAGGGTCTGCGGGACTCCCTGAGGTCCCTTTCCACCTGGACCCCCATCCCCACCCTATAAGCCCTGAGACCTCTCTGTGCCCTGACGACCTCCCCTTTCCCCTGCCTTTAGGTTCCTCCTAGGCGCTCTGAGACCCCTCCTGAGGTTGCCTAGGGTCCCCCTCTCCCGGCTCACCACTGCCCCTGAGGCCAGCCAGCCAGCCAGTGCAGTCCGAACTCAGGCCCCCTGCCCGGCGTCTTCAGCTGTGTCCCGTCCGCCGCCACTCCAGGGAAAGCTGTTCCTTTGGGGAATGTTTGGCAATCTTTGTGTTGCACATTAAAAACTCAGCAGTTCAGTACCGCATGGGGGCCTTGGTTACTTTTGTTTGTTCCTTTGAGACTTCTCTCCCAGGCTCGGCTTTATTGTTTTCAGATGGCAAAGATACTATTCAAATGGGTGCGGGACTTCTTATCCTCTCCTCCCCAGTCCTGCAGGCAACAATGTTCAGTCACTGACTGTCCTGCTCTTCAGTGTGGCTCCAACATGGAGATCATCAGAATCACTCAGGGAAATTAAAAAAAAAAAAAAAAAAAAATACAGCTTCCTAGGCTACATCCCAGAGTGGTGGAATCCAAAGGGAGAGGAGAAAATATATTTGCAACAAACTTCTGGGTGATTCTGACGCTGGAGCCACTGGCCTGGGAGGGGATGAGGCAAGTGCAGACTCACCTGGGCCCTGGCTTCTCACGTGTGCCTCCATGTGCAGCCTTAGGTCGGTTTCCCAGATGCCAGAGCAGTGCGGGTGAAGCCATGTGACTGGGCAGGTTACAGGGGGTTGGGTTGGTATCTGAAGCGGTCAGCATTCTGCACGACCAGGACTAAGGGCAGGCTGAGTTTGATTAAGGCTTGTTGGGGGTTCAGCTTTCCATTTTGAAAACTATAATCTACCCACTGACTAGAACAGTCTTGTGTATACACCTTCATTCATGGAATAAAAGTACTTGCAATAACTTTGTAACCTGCCAGGGTAGTCTCACTTCTCAGTTGTGGCTTTTCCACCCTGGTTACTCAGAGGCAGTTTCCATTTCTCCCAGATGCCTAAGGCAGTGAGTCAAACTGAACCGCAGCCAGAAACCCATCCCCAGTGGTTATTTTTACCTCTAACTAGGACTAATTTGTTATTTTAAAATCTTGCCTTGAACCCAAGTGACAGCTGGAGAGAAAGGCTACTGCCTGGTGACTTTGCTCCACCAACTGGCTCTTACTAGTTTGAAATACCGACTTGAACCACACAGGTCAGCACTGAAAGGGAAGGGGCAAAGGAATCTTTAAATATCCTGATCTCAAATGGATGTGTTTGCTCATCCCCACAATTAAAAGTTGTGAAAATGAGGCAGCAATTACATAGGAACACACAATGGGGAGGAATAAAATGCCAAACACCCCATCTTCTGCTCTGCTGCCCAGATTATAGTTAATTCAGGACCATCAGGGGAAGTTTTGGACCTTTTCTGCAGAAGGAGGTTCGTGCTTCTCATCACTTGCTTCTGTTCTTACTTTCTCTCTTCACAACCGTTGGCCCCCTAGACAGGGCTGAAGAGACACCCAAGCAGATTCACTTCATTTCTACTCTGTTCATTAATGGGAATGAGATTGATAAACTATCCTGTGGGCCTCCAGGGCCAAGAAACAAACAGAAAATAATAGGAGGACAAATTACAGTTCACTCGAAGGGCAAGGAATGCCTATAGCATGGCGGTCGACAGCCCAGGCTCCATTAGAAAGGGCCATTTGAACCCCAGCTCTGCCATGCTTACAAGCTGTGTGACCTGAACACGTCACTTAACCTCTCTGAAGCTGGGTAAAATAAGATCATCACACCGGATTGTTTTGAGGATTAAATGGAGTGTCATTCATGAGAGGTGCATAGCATAACAAATGTCTAATTAATAACAATAGTTAAGGTCAGGAAAATAGCTGCCTGCTAATAAATAGATGGGGCTGCCCTGTAGGGCCGTGAGTGTCATGCAACTAGAAGGATTCAAGAGAAGAAAAGGTTGCTACCTCTGAGGTTTCTAAGAAGGATTTCTGCATCCATTGAATAGCTGGATGGAATGAACTGTGCGATCCCAGCTCCTGGGGGAGGGGACCGACGATGAAGGGAAGATTGTGGGCCATACAGGCAGACATCTGGTTCTTGGCACAGAACCATATGTGTGCCACCAAAGCCGCCCATTGGACCCCATTTGGCCCCTGGAGTCTATTTTTACTCCTCTCATCTTACAGATCTATTTTGTTAATCTCCTTATATTTGCTGTTTTGACTTCCCAGCCAGCTTGCTAATCAGTTTGCCTATTTGACTCACAGGGTTTGCATTTGTCACTGGGACTTAAACACACACTTGTTTTGATTTCTTTTTGTAAAATTAGAAGCATTTGATGTAATGACTCTACCTAGACACAGCTGGTAAAGTGAGAAGAACGCTCAAGTTTGCACAGTTTAAACACAATGTAGACAATAATTAGAAATGCTATCTTTAGATGTTTAGGATAAGCTTTTTCTCAGAATTGCAATGAATTTTTTTCTGAGTGGGGCTTTTTAGTGCATATATACAGAAATACTAAAAACGTAAGAAAATAGAGCAAATCAGTGAGTGCTTTGGTCAACTTGAAAGACTGCAGGAAATAAACTAACTGATTTTAGATCTGCCTTTTTTGACTGAATACATAAAATCTTTACATTCTCCATATTTTTCATGACTACCATATGATCAAATAATTTTAGGTGACAGATTGCAACTGTAGCAACTGATAAGTTGCTACAATATGCTGGAAGTAATGCTCAGCCTATGCTTGGCCTACAGTGAGGGTGGTGAGGGAGAATGAAGCAAATAATAAAGATAATTAATCATCTATATCAGGAAAATTACCACATTTTTATTTCAGGTAACAAAAAAGATACAGTTATGATACACGGTGACCATAGAATCCAATAAAGCAAGGTCTGCAAATGAATAGGAGTTACTTCATTCTTTAAATAAAACTACAAAATAGCAGCTGGGTTTTTTTCTTTTTTTTAAAGCCAATTGTTTTAAATTTAATAGGCTATCACCGGCCTCTGCTAAGATCCCAAAATATATTCCTGAGCTCACATAGATTCCAGAAAGGCAAACTTTTCAGTGTTATGCAAACTTTGCCTCTGCATCCAAAACAATTCTCATTTAGTAAAGAGGTGATATGAAATGTAAGGCAGCACATCTGTATCTATCACTTTAAATTGCCTTCATGCCGTATCAACTTGTTTTGATTTGGTTTTTTGAGCAACCACAATATTGAGAGACAGGTCTTTCCTATTTTTTCTGTTTTTCATTTCTAAGTAGACTCACTACTGAGCTCCCAATTGCATCTCTTTGATCTATAAATTTTTCTCCGTTCAGAAAGACATCTGGAAAAAAAGAGAATGTATTAAAGTAGTGAGTTGGGGGCAATGCTTTGGCTTTTTGACTTCCTACCTGGAGCCGTCTGAAGTTACCCTCAGTAGTATTAAGGAGGAGGATTGTTCTAAATGGAGGCTTCCAGAATGAAAGCAGACGGAGAAGGTGCTCAAATAAAGACCATTTTCCAAAGAGGGCACCAAGTCATCCACAGGGTTTTCAGAAAACAATGAAGGCAGGAGAGCCTTCTGGTTTTTGGAGGTACATAAAACCAAGAGGAGCAAAAGGTGGGCTGTAATTTTAAAGAGACAAGCAAGAGAACTTCAACGAATGAGTAGCTGGTCTTTGAACCTCCTTAAAGAGGAGAAGGAACTTTTCATGCCATATTGTGAACTGGGGTGCAAATACTCCCAGTACCAACAACACATAAAATTTTACTCCAACACATGAAGAATAGCAGAACCCTTTCCTAGAACCTCTCATCGTGATGGTGGTGTGTGTTTGGGGTGAGGGCACAGAAGAGGATCAATGATGGGCAAACTAATTGGGCTTGCTCTAGACTGCCAACAGGGAGACCCCTCCTGCAGGCATTGTGCCTCCCAGCTAGAGAGGCTTCAGGGAATGGCTGTGGGAGCAGCAGGAGGTAGGGGGACGGGAGGGGAAGGTGGACAGAGGAGGCGTGGAAAGAGCTGGGGATGAGAAATGCCTGCTTTACAAAAGCCAATCCATTTCTGTGAGCCTTAATTAAAAGAAAGACAAACACTCACATGTAAAAATCCACACCTAAAGGCGCTCAGGTACAGAGCGATCACAAGAAAGGCAGAGCGTGCAAACAAGCTTTCATTAAGAGACCTGTCAGCTCTGTTTCATTTATCCAGACTGTTCTGCATTCTGCTGGCAACCCAGCTGGAAAAATAATGGAAGGACACACATGCTTGAGGAGGCAAACAAAGGTGGGAAAGTTCCACCTACAAAAGAGGACAGAAGCGGGTGGGGCGAGGTGGGGGGCAGAGGGATGAGATGGCATTTTTCTCAGCAAACACTTCCAAAGACATGATTTTGTTCTGGTAGTCGCCCTTTCAGAGTCTGCATGTCTAGGGATGCAGCCCCTCCCCAATTCAGAAGGGGAATCTTGAGGAACCTGAACAGATCATGGTAATACCACCTCCCTTCTTGCTAAGGATTGGTTTAGACATAGTTATGTGACAGGGTCACATAGGCCTGTGACGATTCTGACCAACGAAATGTGATAGGAACTGGGTTTCTTAAAACACACACACACACACATATGTGAGGAGAAACTTCCTTCTGCCTTTGGACATATGTGGGAACAAGTGCTGTCTGGAGCTGCAGCAGCCATCTTATCACTATGTGGGGGCAGCTGGTAAGGAGGCAGGTAGAACAGGAAGATGAAAACCCAGGTCCTGATGACTTTCTTGAATGAACCAGCCCGGAACGCCCTACTTCTGAAGTTCTTGTTATGCAATAGAATTCATTTCCCTATTGTTTAAGTTTCAGTAAGTGTGACTTGGAACTGAGAGTACCATGACTGGTGCAGGCTTATCTGGAAGAGTAGGGGACAGGATGCTGCACCCTTTCACGACGACCCCTAAAAAGACAAAGGACAATCACAAGTAATTGCCAAAATTCCCTTTAATGTCTGTGGAACAGAAGAACCATGCTGGATGGCGGTAGCAGAGGTGGGACAGTGTCACCTATGTCTATGGGGTGTTGTCATGATTACACCTGGGACAGGATCAACTCATTGGCTCCCATTCCATCTAATAACGCAGACCTTCTTGGCTGTCTGCACACACAGGGTTTAGGTTACCCCTCCCTGTGAACCCTGACCCCTGCCCTGAACCCCAGACTCTTTGGGATACACTGCAGTTTCCCTGATCCTGATGGAATGTGTTGAAGTTTTTGATAAACCCTGCTTTCCAGAAGGTGATGAATGGGCCCTGAAGATGTGCACATGTCTGTCTTTTTATTATTATTGTATTTAACTTGGCTGTATTTTCCTTTGGTAGCTCTGCCATCCTATGCGGTAGTGCTAAATATTTGCAAACAGTTAAGGCCCAGTCCAGCAGAAAAATTATTTCTGTGACTGCTGGTCTGTGCAAGCTCTGCAGCTGCAGAAGCGATTTCCCCTGAGGGGAAGCTGTGGGGGTGGGCCTCCAGGGTGGGGGGATAGGCTGGAATACAGAGGGAAGAGTGGAGCACGGGAGACCAGTGGACAGGGGCTGATGGCATGTCCTCCTCACCAGCAGCAACACAGCACTGACTCCAGCATGCTCCCGTTTTGCTAGATAGGGGTGGCCAAAGCAGCTGGAGGCCCACGCAGTGTGCACCTGACAAAGGACTGGGTCCTTCTGGGCTGCACTTTGCCCTCCTTCAGAGTGAGGCTGCACAACATCTGATGGGGCTTCCATTCTGCCAGCAGAGTGATGCGGGAGATGCAACCCCGCAGGGATGTGTCGGTCGGTGTAGGCTGGCCCCTCACATGCAGGTATCACACCCAAGATCGCGAGTCTGGTGTAAACATTGGATTTTTAAGATGAATTTTTAGTCTCTACCACTGTGGGAGCCTCTTTTTGTTCCTGCAGGAGGGGCTGTCAAAGGAGTGATTCAGGTTCTCAGAAGCATTCTGAGCTTTGGGATCTGGTATCAGGCTGTCCTGGGGAAATAAACTGAGTTCAGCTCAAAGAAAGGTCTATGGTTGGATGCTCTTTTAATTTTCTGCAGTGGCAGATGCCACCTAGAAAAGCTCATTTTTATTCCAAAGGAAAGAACCATATAGGATTGACCACGCCTTCCTTTCCCACCCTTAGACTTGGTTCCACAGTTCCCCTTAAAATGCTGTAATGAAGTTCTTTTGTTTTCCTCTCTCTTTCCTCTGTAGGTCCATGAGCTCTGTGTCTTGTCTTAAAAATCCCAGTACCTGTGAAGGGGTCGAGGTTTCTGGTGGTACAGGAAACTAGACTGGCCCTAAGCAGCTAGATCTCCCCCAGACCTGAAATGGCCATAACACCCTCCATGCAGGACAGGTTGAACGGAGAGAACTAGCATTTCCAGATTCTAACTCTCGTCTCATCTCAGAAACAAACAAACAAAAAATCACAGACCCCAATCGGGAGTCCCCTCCCCCTCTTTTACATACCCCCATCCCCGTCGCTGTGGATTTCAAACCAGAAGCCCCTAAGTGCCTTTCCGCCTGCCAGTCCACGCGTGACAGACAGTGCTGAGGGCAGGAAGCCAAGCGCCCCCACGCCGGCCGCCCTCCCTGCAGGGTGCAAGCTGCAGGGCCCTGGGCCCTCCAGACACGTTCTGCTCAGTTACACCTTCCCCTCCAGCCGCGAGCCTTTACCGAGACAGGAACCTGATTAAAACCCCATCGGTTCCTACCTCTTCCCACAATTTTGATCAGCAACATGAAGTGCTAATAGGAAAACATCTTGTCTCTGATAAAACAAATGCTGACAGAAAGACGGAGGCTGAAAACCGGCGCTAGGGTGGACGCTGTTCCCACGCGCGGCCACGCTCACGGCGGCGCATCTTCGGCAGAAAGAGATGACACCGAGAAGCCTGAGGCCCGCGTTTAATAAATCGGACTGCACTGGCATCCTCGGACTGTTCACAGTTTGCAGCGGGATCGGAGCGTTTTCGCACTTGCAGACTCGGAGGCGTTTCAGGGGAAAGCGGCTCGGGCGCGCTGCTCTGACACGTCGCTCCTCACCGTCCGGGGCTTTCAGCGTGTCATCACGTCGGATGCCTTTGCCCCTCATGTTTTCACTGTGCTCCTCGTGCCTGCGCCCTCTGGGATCCCCGTGCCGCCTCCCGGCGCGGAAGCCTCGGCCGCCGGCTGGCTGGGCTCAGAGGGGCCCGGCTGAGGCCCGGGGGGCTCCCCCTGCGAGGCCGGGCCTGGCGCGTTGGGCCTCCCGCTCCTCTGACCCTCCACGGGACTCTCTCTTCTGACCTCTTTCGGGTCTGCAGCTGCCTGTTCCTTTGTCAGTTTAATTATTTCCCTCCCAAGCTTGTTTACTTCTTCTTCCTCGGAAGGTACCCGGGGTAATGACGGATGAAAGAGCTTGCGTTGGTTCCTGAGGCTGAAATTTGCCTGGGAGTTGACAGCGGGTCTCCCAGCATCCTCGGGCGCTGTCAACGCCTCGGCAGCGGCACAACTTTCATCTCCTTCCTGCTTCTGAACCTCCCCTGAAAACAGAACGAGGACAGCATTACATCTCTGGCAGCCAGTCAGGCACCTCCCCTCTCCCGCCGCCCTCCCGCCCCGCGCGCTGGCACCGGGGCCTCCGGGAAAGGAGAACACTGCTGTGGGGTCCTGGCGCAGGGCACTGGAGCTGGGAGGGCGCACGGGACCCAGGTCAAAGAACCGAGCAAGCACTCTAGCGATTCCCGTGTCGTGAACGGAGGGCAAGGGCCACGTTCATATCCACCCTTCTCAGGTGCCTGGTTAGCTCGGGCCCACTGCCAAGGGCCCCACTGCTAACAGGGGCTCCAGGTACACATTAAATATTTAAACTGAGAACAAAGGTTTTGTTGGTTCTGCAGCGCAGGGAAGACCTGGGGCTCTTTAGTAATGAAAAAAGGTTCTGGCAGCCTTCAGGATGGGAAGCTGCACAGTCTGGGAGGGAGTCGGTGCCAACCCCCTCCCTCAAATTCTTCTGTATCAGCCTCATTCTTAATACTGACCCCTGATGTCCCCTCAACTTCCAATGAAACGTATGCAATCGCTCGCTCCCCCACTGAATTGCTGACCCTAAGCCCCTTCTCTACAGAACAGAGATTCTAGAGCTGCTCTAGAGGGGGATGGACGAGAAGCAGGAGCCCCGAGTGCTGGTATTTAGTCCCCGTTTCCAATCGCTTGCTTTGTGATCAGGGTGCTTGCCTGGCCTCTGTTTCTCAGATACAAATGAGGGACGGGGCTCTCTTATATTCCTTCCAGACCTAACAAGCAATGGTTGAACTTTTGACTAAATCTGCAGTATACTTTCTACAGCCTGTATTAATCATGGATAACTATGTATTACTCTCCTACGAGTTCACTGGCCTCAGTAAGCACTGTATCTGCAAAGGAGACTATTACTGGTGCTTACAATGAAATATGTGAATGTATAAATAAGTGAATTCAGCAAGCCTTGATTTTTAAAAAAATAACTATTCAGATCTGTTCAGCCAGGATAAGGTAGGTTAGTTCTTAACAGGTTTCTTGGATTCTCATCTCTTCCTGCACTAATCCAACCTGTTGGGAGAGGATCCTTCCCTAAAGCTGTGCCACCCCCAGTGGGGTTCGTGGACCAGCAGCATCACCTGGGGGCGTGTTAGACACGCAGGATCTCTGGCCCTACCCCAGAATGACTGGTTCAGAATCTGTACTTTAATAAGATCCCAGGCCATGTGGGTGCACACTACAGTTTGAGAAGCACCTCAGACTTGAAGCACAAATCTCACCATGCCTTTCCCCAGCTAGGAAACATTCAAAGGCTGCCTGTGCCTCAGGAACAAAGCCCAAGCTCATGACCTGGCATCCGAGGCCTTCCATGACCCAACATCCATCTACCTTTCTACCCGACATCACAAGTCCTCTGCTTGTTCCCTACACTCCGGCCACACTGAGCCCTTCATGGTGTCCTGCCCCTGGCCCCAGGGCCTTTGCTTAGGCGGGATTCCTCCACAACTATCATTCCCTTACCTATCCCAATGACCAACTTCAAGAGTCAGCTCTACCTCCGCCTCTTCCATGAAGCCTATTGGATTAAATCTGGCCAGAGGTAATAGCCCCAGTGTCCAAATTCCCATAGGCTGTCTAGACTTCCTAGGGAACTTAGTGTATTTTATTCTCCCCACTCAACTTGTTTTATATATATAGTTAGTTTATAACCACCTTAAGTATGAAATCTTGCCTGATTAGATTTTTAATCTTGTCAATGCTCTATAGTGGGGGCTCAGTAAATAGCTTATTAAATGTTTGATTATATGAGCATATACATAAATGCATGAATAAATGAATATGTTAGTATGTATCTTTAACTACCATTCATTAATACATGAAAGCAATCCTTGAATTTATGGTATTCATTTCAAGGTCTATGCAGGTTGCTATCTTGAAAGTTCTTAAGATGGTAGTTTTTGGGGAAAAGAAAGAGATTTCTAACTTGCACAAACATTTATCTACATCTAAGGTAGCTCAGGCAAGCAATCACATAATTTTCATACTAACAAATGAAAATTTTTATAGTGGTTATAGAGGGGACATGAGAAACAGTGAGTCAAAATGAGCATGTTTCTAGCATAGTGGGGAAGCTTTATTCAAAGGAGTAAATTATGGTACTTTCTGCAGCTAAATTTTTCATCAACGTGAGATGAATAAACTCCTTCTGGAAATTACTCTTATGAAATTACTTCTTCCAGGACACTTAATAGTATATTCTGGTGCCCCTGAAAAATTAATTAACCTTACTCGTAACAACCTAACCCCTAAACCATCTGCGGTGTGTTTTTACTGTGGGTCAGGTTAATCTTCTCTACCTTAATTTACATCTAAGTGAGGGTGGTCTAAATTACACTGGGGAATTGCAGTTGCTGGTACTTTGCCTTGTGCCATTTCTTTAGATGACATTCCGCTCATGTCCAAATGTATGAATCTCTTTTAAAATGGCAAAGCTCTGAGATTACCAGAGAGAACATTTTAACTTTTGAAGTGGGGGTGGGGTGGGGCAGGGAAGATAACCCTGCTGTCCTCATTATCGGCCAAAGCACAGCCACAATAAGGAGAAGAATGAACACAGGCTGTAATCCTATTGTTTGGTCCCTGTCAGGCATTTACTCGTTCTGAGAAAGTCTAGATTTTCATAGCCTCAAGACCTTAGAGATACAGGGGCCAGGATGTGGGACTGGATTATGGGTCAACAATAGGATTTATTAATACCAACCTACTTTCCCCTTTTGTTTTATCACAAAGATATTCAAAAAGTATACTCAAGTCATCATCAGGAGACTAAGAGAAGTTACTGAAAATGTCACAACTGTTGGGCTGTCACTAGGGCCTCTGGTTGCTTGCTGTGGGAGCAAAATCCTCCTTTAACTCTAAGATTCCAGAACGTTAACTCTTAAGCTGTGGTAGTTTTCTCTCTTCCTTTAAGAATAGACACCTAGCATTGCCATTTCTGTAAAAGACTTCTGAACTAGCCAATAGTAGGAAAATATTATTACAAATAATAGTAACTATTCTGTGCTGTTTTAGCAAACAGAATTATCATTAATACTTATTAATAACAATACATACATCAACAATGATGAGGCAATCAACTGATATAAATGCATTATGACACAAATAGTACGGAAAGAAAAAATATTTCCTCTGAAAGATGAAGACACAGTATGTCTTTGTATAAAAGATTGCTAATCCCCTAAAAATGTGTTTTCTTCCCCTCTGGCCCAAAGGGGACATTTGTCTTCCTTTGTTAACTGGTCTCTGATGAGCTTTGTCCTCCTAAGTGTGTGCTGCTTTCAGTTGGAATTAATCAGAGATGCAACAGTGATGAGGCCATCCCAGACGCTGACAGGCGCTACATAAACGCTTCCTTGTTCCCACCCAGCACCGGCGAAGGATGGGTTGGAACAATGAGAGCTAATGATGGAACTCTGGAAGCTATCATTTTGAATCACTCCATTACTTAAGCCGCCCTTGTGAAAATCAAGCTGGGCTCAGCTCCATGTCAGGTTAGCAGGCCCAGGCCCACCCCCAGGCTCAGCAAGCCCAGAATAGACAGAGGGCTCTGGATCTCCATGTGGACAATGCATGCAGGCATGGAACAACCATCTGCCAAGACATGTTCCAAACCACACAGTGGGCCACAGCGTGTTCCAGGTCAGCCTTGCACACAGCACACAGCCATGTGCTACTGGCTGGAAAGATCCAGTGTTGCTTCCTGGCCAGTGTGGAACTTATCAGAGTCAGGGGGCTCTCTTTAGGAATTCCCCCCAGTGTACTTGTGCAACCTTTCTGTTGAGATCCAAGACATGAGCTGACTTCCATTCTCACCACTCCACGTACTATGATGAGTGATTTGAACAGGCTTTGAAACACAGGATGCATGAACAAGTCTTGCTGAGACCAGCTCTGATGAGCAGAACTGCCCATCTGACCCAAAGATGCATGAAAAATAACACATAAGTTGTTGCTTTGAGTTCTAAATTTCAAGGTGGTCTGTTACACGAGAATAGCTAACTCACACAGCTGGTTAATCCATTTTGATAAGAACACAGTTTTTAGGTCAGGTAATCATAAAGTTAGAGAGGTAGGCTATGCAAGTTGCAGAGTTGAGATTTTAAGAGCAAGACAGTTGAGGGCCACTTGGGACTTTTGAGCAGGCTACAAACATGATGGCAAACAGTCCTCCAAAAGCTTTACCCTACAGTAGCAGGATGAAGATAGGAATGAGGCAAGGAGAGCCAGGAGGCAGGAAATCCAGGAGGGAAGCTCTGCCGACAAGATGTTGAGGGCCTGAGCCAAGCCAGAGGCGGGGGATACTGAGGTGCAAGAACTCTGTAGAAAGAACTGGGCACAGACCAGATGTGGATTAGGAAGGAAGGCTGACAGGGTTGATGGCTCTGAGGTTTCAAGCCTTAATAGGTGAGAGGGTGATGAAAAAGAGAAGAAGCAGGAAGCGTTGGTGATGTCACACTTGAGAAGCCCATAGAATATTTGGGGTGGAGGGGTGGAAGGGGGGAAGTTCAGGTTCTGGGAAATCTGGGGCTGTAACTCTGCAGATAGAGCCCAGTGAGGGGAAAATATTTTGAGAATATATTTATGAAGGTGATGATTAAAGATGTGGGTCTAGAGATGGAGAAGACAAGTAGATGTTCAAGGAAAGAACCTTGATACTCATACACTGGGTATATAAGCTATCGATTGCCATGTAACAAATTACTTTAAAAACTAGCAGCTTAAGACTCAGGAGTCTGGAACAGTTTAGCTGGGTGGTTCTAACTAATGGTCTCTCATGAGGTTCCCATCAAAATGTTGACCAGGGCTGCTGGCATCTCAAGGCTTGACTGGGGCTGGAGAATCTGCTTCCAAGATGGCTCACGTGGCTGACGGCTGGAGGCCTCAGTTCCACACCACATGAACAGCAAGCAGGGCTCCTGAGCATCCTCATGACATGGCAGCCAGCTTCCTCCAGAGTGAACACTCCAAGAGACACAGAGCCAGGCACGAGTCTCATGTCTTTTATGACCTAGCCTCAGAAGTCAAAACACTATCACCTCTGTTCCATTCTATTAATCACATGGACCGACCATGATACAATGTAGGAGAGGACTACACAAGGGTATGAATACCAAGGGGTAGGGATCACTTAGTGCCATCTTAGAAACTGGCTACCACATTGGGGTGGCAGAAGAAGACAAGCAAAACTTCCAGAGATATGAAGGACAGTTTTGTTGGGGAAACCAGACTACCACATGGGAAGAGATCTGGCTTTCACACCTTCTGGCTCATCTGAACCCCTAGATGGGTCTTTGATCCCTTCAAAACACTCTGCCTCCAAAACTGTCTGGCTGGTAGAGGAGAAGCTTTTCTCTCCATTCCATGGATCCCCAGACCACTTACCATGTATAAGGCAATATGCCAAGATTTCCCCAAGGTTGGCATCATGATGTCACCGTTTCATAGGAAAGGATACTGAGGCTGAAGTCCACTAGCCCAAATTCTCACAGCCAATGTGGCGTGGGACTGGAATATGAACCCACGCTGTCACCTCCTGAGTCCTCACTCTTAACCTCTATGCCACTGTTCCCAGGGTGCATTCTTCTGCTGAAACCTCCTGTCAAGATGAACCCATGTGAGCCACAGGAGGAAACGTGAGGAATGCCCCAGTGGTGCCACAGCAGCTGCAGGAAGGGGAAGGGACTGATGTCCACTGAGTCCCTCCTCTTGGCAGGCACAGGCCAGGCAAACACGGAGAAATCGAGGTGTGCTCACCATCCTTGGGATTCGCTTTGTTCTCGGTGGGCTGGTCAACAAACTTCAGCAGTGGGGATCTTGACCTCTGTATGGTGGGAAGACTGGGGTCGCTGAACAGTATGGTGTCCTTGCCCCCTGTTGTGGAAGAGGGGAAAAAGGACATGTTTTATCATCAGTGGAGTTGGGTTACATTTACTCCCACATAATTAACTGGCTGTTTGGGTTAACAAGGGACTTTCTTCAATCGTAGGTTGATGCGTGAAAGGAAAATGGCCAGCAGGCCCTTCTGTAGCGTGGGGACAGAGCAGTGAGGTCCAGGGCCAGCTGCCTATGATTAAAGACCTCAATTCCTTCCTGAGTCTGCTCAGGGTTGGCTGCCCACAAATGTCACCATTGAGGGGCAGCCTGTTATGTTGGCTGAAAACTGAGTGGCTTTGATCTGAGTGAGATAATAACAATAATAATAATAGGAGAGTGCTTTGGCATGTAAGTTTTGCAGCTATGCTAGAGTGTCTGTATTCTGGACATCATCCCTTGCCAGCTGGGCAACCTTAGGTATGTCATTTAACCTCTCTGGACCTCAGATCCCTCATCTTCAAAATGAGGAAGAATATAACAGCATCCGCCTCATTGGGTGGCTTTGAGTATGAAATGACTGGTTCATATAAAGGACTTAGGTGTTTAGTCGGCACTCAATAAATGTCACCAATTGAAATGATTACAGTGTAGACAGCACTGCTATACACACTACATCTGATTTAATTCCATTTGGCCATTTCGATTGAATAACCCTGTCATAAGGGAGGTATATCAAGTCCTCCATACTATCACAGCGAAATGTTCACTTAGAACATACAGTCTCACACCAGCCAACCTGTCTACCTATTAGAATGAACTCCCTAACTGGATAGAGAAAGTCTGAGGCACAGGGAGGAGGAAAGGAAGATCGTTACAACACTAAGTTGGAGGCCATGGCAGTGTGGAGGTGAGGTGCAGGGAACGTGGCTTTGAAAACGGAACGTGGTGAACACAGACACACAGACACAGAACACGTGGACATAAAGCCATGCCACCCCCAGAGGTCAAGAAAGCCCATCAGGTGGGATTTGATTCCAAACTTTGGTCCATGAGGCCTTGGGATTCTCTCAGTGGGAACCATCATGCCAAAAATGAAATCCCAGGGGGCCACCAGCCCAACCTATGCTCCAGTCTTAGCTGTCTGGTTTTGAGCAAGAAAGACCCTTCTCTAAAGCTGCGTGAGGCCAGTCACTAAACGTCTCTAGGGCTCAGATCAGAGACTCTAAAACTCTATGATTTTACTCAGGTTCAGCAGAGCATAGAATGGCATTGGTGTAAAGACGCCCACTCCTTCTTTGGAGAACCAGGTGAACTGGGGGCATAACTCCATCACTGTACCCTGGATCCCTCCTAGTTTTTTATAATAGTGTCTTCCCATCAGGCCATGCCTTATTAACTTGATTTCCAAGACTGTGGTAGAGAGTTTGGCACATGGGAGGTACATAATAAATGTTGGATAAATGTCTGAATAAATGGCTGGCACATTCTTGGGAATCCGGATGTCTGATGGGCATGGGTGCTTGGGGCTGCCTCGGGCAGATGGAGTATGTTACTAGCAGCCATAGGCTCCAGTTGCTGTGCTATTTGAAAGTCACCCCAGAAGAGTAGAACCTGACAAGAGCCAAACATGAAGTTCTGTACCAGCACAGCTATTGTCTCATGTGGAAAAAAGGCCATAAATCTTCAAGGCCAAAGTCGGGAGAGGTTTCCCAAAGAGAAGTGTTGATCTACAGCTCAGGACGTTGCTAAGAGGCTCTCAGAATGAAGTCAACACAATCAGGTCTCTCTTTGTACTGCAGAGATACAATCTGGAAACACCTGGATGGATTAACAGTGATCCGGGCTTTGGTTTCCACGAATTGATAGCAGGTTCCTCAAGATGGATTTTCTTCTGTTTCTCCCCATCAAGGCAACATTTACTGTCCTCAAATCAGGGACCAGATGGCATTTCTTGACCTATATTTCTCTAGCAGGTGGGCCAGCAGCCCTCTATCCTTCAGGGGACTCAGTAAGAGACACATTCTGCTCCTCTGGATTCCAATTAGTCTTCCAAATCCCCTCTGCCTCAGTGGCCAAAGAATCAGAATTATAGACAGAGGTGAGAGGTGACTGCAGCATGTTGATGAAGGCAGCCTGAGGAAGGCCCCCAGCCCTTCCTGTCCTGAGGAATTCTTGAGGGCAGAATGTCCCCTTGGCCCTATCCAACCACAGGGTCATTGTGCATTCCACAATGCACAATCCACCTCTCCAAAAATCTGAGCAAAGAGCAGATGGAGATGGGCAACAGAAACCACCATTCATCCACATCCAAACAAGGTAGGGGTTGGGGAGAAGAGAAATACCTACCTAAACTCTTCCCTAAAGAGCTTATTTCCTGATTTTAAGGTGAAATGCCAAGATTTGGCCATTCTTGCCCAATATTTGAAGGATTCAAACAACTTTCCTAAAAGGCTCTTTGTTCTATTGTTTCAAACCAAGTTCAGATTCCACCTCTGTTGACTAAATTGAGTGCTAATTGGATGGTCTGCTATCTTGCACATTCATTTCAGTTCTTAGGACTAGAGGATGGGAAGGGGGTCAGGGTGGTCCACAAACTGAAGTCAAACTACAACCAATGTAGAACACAGGCTCTTACATTCAACTGCTGTTTGAGTTTCTAGAAGCTCTCCTGACTCCTTAGGGCACAAAATCCCTCATCCCTATCTCCAAAACATACCATGTGCTTTCAAACCACTCATTTTCTTCCTTAGGCTGATGCCTAGAATGGAGAGAGAATGCAAATGAAAAGCTCAGAGGCCAGACTCTGCTCTTGCTAGATTTCTTTTCTGGCTTTCAATGTTTTTTTTCTAGAGCATGAACAGATCCAGGCAACATCCATCAAATCCACCCAAGCACCATGCTCCCTGTGGAACTGGACAAAGGGCTGAGGGAAGGAGGCCGACAGGTGGGGGCTGGGGAGAGGAGTGTCATTCCTTCCCAAGGGCTGTGGACAATGCCACCCTCCCCTCTGGCTTCTTCACCATAGCCCCATACTTTTTACACTGGTCCCAGAAAGGTTAAACAGTTTAGAATACGCTTTGCTATCCAGATGCTCCTCTGTACAGGCTGTGACATGTGTCAAATGCATCTACTTCTCAGCAAGGTCACAAATTTGCCCCAACTCTAGCAAACTGCGTCAAGAGCGCTACGCTATTGGCTGAGAGAGTGAGGAGGGAGGGAGAGGACAGTCAAAGAAAAATCACTGCAGACTCAAAGTCCAGCAGTCATTCTGCCTCATGGGAAGGAGGGCTGGGCTCCTTCGCCACTACCTTTTAGAGTCCCAGGAGACATTGTTCTGGTTTCTCCTTTCCAGTCTAGTTTGCTATATCAACTATCCTCCAGGTGACCTAATCGCTCCCATTCTTTTCTCTGAATTGTAGTTACCCAGTACTGGTTTCGGAGGAACAATGAAATGAAAATCTGAACACCTAAGTTCTAATGGCAGCCTCTGTGGCCTTAGGTATCATCTAACTTTCTGGGCCTCTCTTTCCTTATCTAAAATGAGGGGATCAAAGTAGATCAGGAAAAGGAATGATGTTTTCTGTCATGCGTCAGCTCTGACCAGGAGGTGGCTTCCTGGAAAGGTAACGGGGAAGACCATTCTGCGGGCTGGATCTGAAATCAGCAAGGAAGAGTGATGTGATTGATTAGCAATGTCTGCCACTGGTGTGGGAATAGGTGCTGTACAATATATATCATGCTATTGCCATCCTTGAACTTTCTGCTCTCGACTGTCACTTCCAGGTGGAGCATTTGATGACTCCTCACATCATTCCCTCACACACTTAATGTTTTTATCACTCATTCAACACTGAATTATGGGCCATTTTGTATTTTCCTCTCCCTGCTTGATGTGTGTTCATCTTGCTTCTCTAACTGGACTGTAGGTTTTTGGAGGGGGTAAGGAGTATGTCTAGAATGCCACGTACAGCACTGAATTCACAAAGCCAGTGTTCAAAAAAGTGTCAACACATCCAGGGGCTAATTACCAGAGGAGACACTAATCCTTTTAAGATGCTGGTAAGTAAGAGAAGTTAGTAATTCCCTGAGATCCACTGGGACTCAGTGCCTTCCAGTTGGCTAAACACTGTGATTTAGCTCCTACTTGGAGAGAGAAAGAAGAAGAAGAAAAAGAGGAGGAGGAGGAGGAGAAGGAGGAGGAGGGGGTAGGGGGAGGAGGAGGAAAACACACTGCCTCTTACTCCACTATTCAGTAGGTTAAATAGAGACACATAAAACAATGAGTAGACAAGAAGGACTGGTCTGACTCACACTCAAAGAGGCTCTTTCCCCACTTACTCTCACCATGGTTTGAAAATATCATAATTCCATGCTTCATCATAACATCCTTCATCACTGCAGAGAGTGATGCTATTGCCATTATATCAACTGTATCAGATCTGGGGACCTGCCACTCTTTTTCCCGTCCTCCCACTTTGTATCTATGTGGAGGCCAGAGATTAGAACAAACATGGCCACAGCACAAAATTCATTCCGCTGGGTCCCTCAAAGGTAATTTCACCATTTAACATTTGTTCTGTACTAATTGAATTCTCTGTTTCGATTGACTATTCTAATCAGAAAAATTCAAGGAAAGGTAGATAATGCGTTTCTACTTATTTACATGCCAGGATGACATAATGCACAGCTGATATTAGCCACAAAAACAGATATTTCGAATAGAACATACTCCCAAATCCTATTGAAACATTGTAGCTCAGGCCTTCAGGCAGCAAAAAGAAGGAAAGAAACAATTGTTATTGCATAATAGACAATTGAAGTCTTACCCAGACCAAACAAGACCAGAGAGAGAAACTTCTCAGCATTTGTGCACTTAGTCAACTTCCATCTTTTTAGATAAATTGTAGAAATGAAACAGTGAGGAAACTTCGCCAAGTCATTTTGAGGGGAAAAAAACCCATCAAAACCCCAGTACATGCACAGAAATGGCAATCTGTACAAATAAAACATAAATTTGCCCAACTGGGTTGCAATTCAATGCGATAAAAGAAAGGCCTTCATGGAAGATGAGGTTTTAACAGCATCAAAAGGTTCTTGTGCAAAATAGATCATTCAAATCCCCAGGATGGCACTTGCCACTAATTAGTTCTGTTAGGTCTTTTGACATCAAGTTCAAGGAATCGCTGCTAAAAATTCCAATTTTCGAAGCAAACATCCAGGCAACCTAAGGCAGCTATTCAGATTTACATTTAAGAAAACTTGATGCTGTTGTCCACCTCCCTGTGGTAATTTTTATTTATCAACCATTCCAGGGAAGCAGCCCATATGATTCAAGGGTAAAGGAGAGTGGTTCGCGCAGAAAGGTTAAGTAACTAAAAATATACATACAACGTGGCTTCCAGGGAAAGAGGAGGTGGTGGAAAATGATAAATATAAGTTTCTGAAGAGGGTAGACAAGGGGGAATGGCTCAAGGGGGGTCTCATGAAAGGGATGTTTTACCAAGATGAATGGGATAAATGCAGCTAATTAAAAGGAAACATCAGAGCTTCCTAATACAGTGTACAAATGGAAAAAAAATTTTTCCATAGGAAATTTTGATTTTGAAGCTACAGAAAAATGGGTTGGGGGAAGGGAGGGGAAGGAGGTTGTGGAGTACATTTGAGTTAGAAAAATTGTTGGCTCTTATATTCATTTTTAGTACCGGTGATTAAATCGAACAAATCTTTATGCGTTCTCACATTCAATTTTAGGACGGATGATTAAATTGTACAAATCTTTGTAAGTTCTTATATTCACTTTTAGGTCTGATGATTAAATTTAACAAATCCTTGTATATTCTTACATTCATTTTTAGGAGTCGTGATTACATTGAATAAATCTTTATAAGATACCTACAGATAAAAAAAGCAACAATTCACTACATCGACAAAAGTTAAAAAAAATATACAGACACAACAACAATTTCAGAATTCAGGTGAACAAAACTTTGTAGTTCCATAGATGAGATCTTGAATATTTACTGTATTTTTCTGATTCCACATCCCCCTACCAAAATGATGGTTTCTAAGTTTAAAACACTTGTAGATTTTTTTTAGCAGTGAGCTCCAAACAAAAGGTCATTAAAAAAGTAGACTCTTTTTGAAAAGTATCTGAGAGCTTCCTTTTCTTGAAAAATGAAAACCAGTTTTCATGAAGTTCTGCTTACCTGGAAGACTCCACAAACCAGAAACTTCCAGAGTTCTTAATTTTTTTTCCAGCTCAGCCACACGATTCCCTAGGATTCTGGAAAAGGGGAGAAAATGAGAGTAGATTAATGAGCATCCCATCGGCTCTCGGGGCTGTGAGGTGATTATCTGGGAAGCCCATGAGTGCCCTAATAAGTTTAGGACATATGCTAAAAATGGAGCATTTGTATGTACATATGTGTGTATAAATAACATATACTCTATCGAAAGTACATGTGAAAATAAAAAGTAAAGTGAATGATTAAGAAATAAAATAAAATGCCATTCAAGTTAGTCCTCTCCCAAAAAGTAGTTCCCCTGGGAAGCTAAACAATTATCCCACCACTGCCCAAAACATCTTATAGAATTTCTATTTGGGAAGTGCTCATTGCTAAAGATGACAATGAATTGTAAATATCCTTAGTAGTGTCACAGTTTGATTCTTTGGGGTGGATCTGATTTGTGGAAACAACCAAGGCTAACAAATAAGATGGGTGGACACACTTGGTAATGTTGCTTTGAGTTAGTAAATAATCAGATCAGCCTTCTTAGACCCAGCTTTTGTCTTACTGATGTCTGTATGCTTGATACCCAGCACAATGCCTGGTAGGTGTTCAATACATACATATGATTACATAAATGCTTTTCTTTTTTCATGACATGTAAGTATCTATGGAAAGAATAAAAGTAGAATAAAAGAATAAAAAGTAGGTATTTCAAAAGAGGTTTCAATAATTGCAGAATCATTAGAATGATTAGGTTGCTTTCCAAGGTAACCATTCTGACTCACTGGGATATATAAGTATTGGAATGTGCATTTGAAAGGATCATATTGTTTACGTGGAAGTCAAACTTTGTCTGTATGCATGGATAGACATGTGGGCATACATTCTCCCCTTTCACTTTATATGAAATTTAAATATAGTTGGGAAATGATTTGATAGTCATCTAAAACTTCAATCAGTTTCCTTTGGCCTGGAAATTGAAAAACCAGTCTTTATTTTGGGGATTTTCTTGGCACTGCTGTGCTAAAATGATGTGGAAATCACCTTAATAGCAAAGTTTCAATTCCTTTCAGCAGGATAAATCAGAACACCAGAATTATTCTCTTGCCTCTCTTTATATTCCAGAGATAGCTGCACACACCCACATACACACAGAGACATGAATATGTATATATATGCACATATATATGGCTTTGGATTCATCCTCGTTTTACCTGAATTGACTTGTACCATCTTAATTAATATTCCCTTTGAGTTCACAGAAAACTCTAGAATTACTATATGCGGTTTTCTTCATCTAAGTACTTAGAGCTTTGCTTTTCTTCTTTTCCTTAAGTCTTAAAATTCTGCATAGTTTTTATCAATTACTTTCAATTTTCGCTCCATTTGTTGGGTCTATTTTGCTTTCATGTCCCTGACCCTTCAATAGACACTATTCTTTGTAATCTCGCTTTCAATATTTTGCACAGAGCTTCTGATCCAAGCTCCCTTTTCACCAGCTGATGGGTTTGAGATGCAATCACACCAGTGCTCAAGTTGATGCCTGTTTCTTAACGAGATCAGATCATCTGAATGTGGCTGCCTCTTGGAAACAAAAGATAAGGCTTAACTATTCCGTGGATGCTGAGGAATGCTGCCTGACTGACGTTCAAAGGTGCGGTGAAGAGATATTTGGTTATATTTTTTTGGATGTTTCTGGATAACACAGCCTTTCCCTCAGAAATGGGATGAAGTGAGTTTGCTAGTGTCCCCAAAAATCTACTTTCAGGGACCTTGCCCAAGTTTGTCAGTGGTGGCTGCATTCTTCTTTGGCCTGACACTTACCAGCATCTGATGCAGGGCTGGGGGTAGTAAAATGGACCCAGTAGAAGTTATGGTAGTAGAAATAGTAATAGTAGCACATTGACAACAATAGCACCTGCACTACTGTTAACACAACAGCCAACTGATGTTTCCCGAGTCACCAGTATGAGTCAGAGGCCATGCTAACACCTGCCTCACTTGCATTGTCTCACCTCACCTGACAAAAACCCTGTGGTGTGCACCGTATTATCATCCTCCTCTTATGCATTGGACCCCGTGTAACAGAAAGGTTAAGCAACTTGCCCAGGATGCGCAGTTCATCTAAAGCTCTCTCTTCTCCCAGCTCCTAGTGATCTCATCCACCACACTCTCTCTTCCCATTAGGAAACAGAGGCACAGCAGTCACTTAACTTGATCAAAAACACATGCAGGACTCAGTTGGTGGCGAGTCTGGATTGGAACTTAAACCTCTGAAGCACATGCTCTTAATCCATATCCCATAATGGCACTTGAAAACAAGCCTTCCCTTGTTCTTTCTCATGCCTGCACCCATACTCCTTAAAAACTGTTCACATTGAAATATGGATGCAGCCACAGTTGACTTACAAAATATAGCTCAAGATGCTTCGAATGACAAAGAGGGACCTCCTGGTCAGCTTCACACTGAAAGGACACAGCAGGGAGCCCACTGAACCTAGTATGACACAGCCCAGGGACAGGAGAGGGCCTATTTGAGTCTTATTAGCCGGCAACACTGACAGGTGGAGAGGGAAGAAGTCAAAACAGGGTCCATTCGATTCAGTTTGACCCATTCAACAAACAACTCCTGAGATCCAGCTCTGTAAAGCACTGTGCCACAGGCTATAGGTGATAATGAAGAGAAGTGGACCCTGTCCCTGTATTTGAGGGACTAAAAGTATGGTTGGGAGACGGACAGATGCATACACACAAACACACGTGTAGTGCCGGTGGAAGGCTTAATCAACAGCTGCTATTTATGAATCACTCCTTCTGTATCAGGTATGCACGCACACTCCATAAGTGTCTTGCAACAGCTGACGAGGCAGCTCTTATTAGCCTCATTTTGTAGATGAGGGAACCAAGGCTCAGAGGGGTCAGCTAACCCATCCTGGCTCACACAGCTGGTAAGCAGAGGGGCCAGAAAAAACCTGGGCCTGAAATACACAAGTCCTTCAGAAGAACTGCAGAGAAGTGCAGGGCTAAGTGGAAGATGAATCCAGAGAAACTGGTAGGGACCCAGATCATGAAGGATCTTGTTGCCATATTGAGACTGTTCAGACTTTTATACATTGGCAGTGGGGGGAGCGTGAAGGGGTTTCAGCAGGGAAGCAGCATAACGAAGTTCAGGCAAAGTATTTTTGATGCAGAGTTGAGAATGGCCTGGAGCAGAAAAAGCAGCTAGAAGGGCAACGCCTGGGTGGGGATGGTATGGCCCAATCCAAGCCACTGGGGATGCAGAAGGAATGGGGCGACGGTAAGGAGGTAGATGAGGGGTTTGAGATGCCTGCAAGATATCCACGCAAACATGCTGGATCTATGGGGAAAAGGCAAAGACCTGAGAGTGCAAAGCTGAGAGTGCAGGGGTGTGTGTGTGTGTGTGTGTGTCTACCACATTACCACTGGAACGTGCCAATCAGAAGGACAGGGCACTAGAATGCCTCCTGAGGAAGGCAAGAGAGGACTGGAGAAGGACCAGGTGGAGGGGGAAGAGGAGAGCAGTGGCAATGTGGGGTCTTGGAAGCCATGGGGAGAGTTTGGGTGGGAAGGGGAGGTCTTATTCTAGAAAGCGCTCACACAGGAGGGAAGTTGAGAAGAACCTGCTTAGAAGATATGCCTGACCCTCGAAAGAGAGATATTTCAGGACAGTGGAAGGGATGAAATTCAGAATCCAAGTGGCAGGGCTGAGACAAAAGCAGACTGAGAGAAAGATGAACAGAGATGGCTCTGTGCGTAGTTTAGCCGGGAAGAGGACGAGACAACCAGGGCAGTAGCTTGAGGTATAAACAGGCTTAGGAGAGAATTTCTCTTTTTTTTTTTTTTGGTAGCATGGGGGAGATTTTAAAATAAAGTTTCATGTAGTTGTGGGTTGTTTTAGCATAGGGGAGATCTCAGCAGTCTAGGAAAATCCTCCAGATGCCAGACCTCCAGACAGACTTTCCTGGGGCGGTTTCAGATAATGAGGGCACCACTGAGGGTGGGATTAGGAAGCTGCAAAGACAGGACTAACTCAGGCACTGGCCACTGCTGTGCTTGCTGTCTGGACAACACAGAGGGCAGGAATACCTGGGCGAGGGCCTCTGGGAAAGTCTGGTTCTAAAGGGAAAGCAGCTGGCTGTGGCTCTACCCACCTGGGGTTGCCCCTCCCACCACACTGCACAGGTCTGTGCTCCGATCCATGACACCCTCTTGCTGCTCCCCAAGATCTTGAACTTCCAAGCTCGTTCACCACTGGCCAGGGAAGGAGAAGAGGCAGCAGTTGTAGGCAGAGCAGGAAGGGCAGAAAGAGGCCAACATGCCCATATATTTACCACCTCCTGCCCCACCATGGCAAGGCTGTGGGCTTGCTGGGAAAGACAGGGGAACTAAGTGTGGTGTGCGGTGAAACACGACTTTTATAACAGCCTCTTCTATGAGTGTTTTGCCACCCAGTTTAAAAGATAAATGAACCTCATCCCTTCTTTAGCAATCATCAGACAACTGCCAACTCATTGGCAAGAAGTCCCTCAAGCAAATTGCCTATTAATTGAACATCACTCAAAATGTAAAGTGCTAGGTTTCTTCATCAATTCTTCGAGATGGCTCCCATTGGACCCTCTCAAGGGGGGTGACTGTCAGGCAGTAGGAAACCAGTAGGGGAGCACACGCTAATAGAAAGCAATACCTTTATTCCCATTTATAATGCTCCTGCAAAACAAAGCTATTTTACTACTTCAGTTACAAAAGGCTAAATCATGGGGAATAACAGCAAGAAGACCAAATTCACATTCTATTCTTAGCCGTCATTCCATTTGTAGTATAATTAGTTTCTTTACATGCCCCCAAATAAAACATTTATTAAAAGTTTGAAATGTGAGACTTTCTAAGTATTAAAGATGGCACATTAGGCACCTTATGTACTGATAGGAAGCAATCTACAAGATCTATTGTCACAGGGGAAAAAAGCAAGGTGCAGAACAATGAAAAAACTCATTTTTTTTGCATGAATACTAGCCACCATTTGTAAAAAAAAAAGAATATATCTATATAAATATATGAGTGCTGATGTGTGTACATATAAATATGTTATGCACTTGCTTATCTTGTATATGCATCCTTTGGAAGGGTGTATAAGAAATGAGGAATGGTATTTTCTTCCAGGAAGGGGATTTGGGTAGCTGAGAAGAGCAGTTTGGAGACACACTGTTGTTTAACATTTTAAAATTTAAACCATAGGATGGCTCAAAAATTAATAAAAATAGTTAAACATGAAAAAGCACATTAAAACAAAAATAAACATGGCCAAATGAAAATGTCTGTCTTTCTCAATAGAGGGAGAGAGTGCTGTGGACCTGGACAATGTGTGTATTTGTGGTGGGTATGGTTAGGAGCAGATTAGGAAGTCAATCTGTCAGATGAGGCTGGAGTCCTCCGCAGAGGAGTGTCAAGCCAACGGCGTATAGATCCTGCCCTTGGCAGGCAGTGGGAACTCAGCCGGGCTTTGCAGTGCAGGCTTGTGATGTGCTCAGAACTGTAGTTGGCAGGTGGGGGAGGAGGGGCTGGGTGTAAGGATGGACCAGTGGAGGGTCTCCCCAAGGAAGAGGTGATGATCTGGGGAAAGAAGGCAGAAGGGGAAGGTATTAAAGGAACCCTGAAGGCCCATAGTAAGTACTCAGGAAATATATATCCGATAAACGAATACAGGAAAGCCCTGAAGCTCAGCAACCATCTGGATGTGTGTGCTGAGGGAACAGAAGCTAAGGGTTAGAAGATAATTTAATCATCCATTCATCAGGTCATCAGGAGTGCTTGCCATGGGCCCAGCACTGGTCTGAGGACTGGGAGAAACAGAGACTAAAATGGACAAATAATTGAGCCCTGGGACAGCAAGTGACAGGTGTTAGGATGGAGGGCAGAGCCCATTAGATATTCTTTAAATCGTGCTTTAAATGGTTGTATAATATTTCATCTTATGGATTTACCCTAATTCTAACCATGCTCCAATTAAAAGACATTTGGGTTTCCATTTTCCGTCTTATAAATGAATACACAGTGAACAACCTTATATATACATCTTTAGGGTATCATTCTGGTTTTTTTCTTTAGGATAAACTCCTAGAAGCAGACTATCCGTGTCAAAAAGCACAAACATTTTTAAAGTGTTTTAAAACATACTAAGGAATGGATGTCGACTCATTGAATTTGAGGAGCCGAAAGGTTATCTAGAGAAACTGTCCCCCTCACAGCTGTAAATGTGGGTCTTGCTCTTGACCAGGTGGTGGGGGCAAGAGATCTGAGAAGAGTCTGCAGAGAATGAGAGGCAAAGGCAGAGACAAGGAATGAGGTCCCCTAGGTGGGGGAGGCAGAGGAGAAGACAGAAAGAGGTCAGGTAGGCCTGGGATGGGGGTGGAGGCAGGAACAGGACAGTGGAGAAAGTTCAAGTTTCCATCTTGAAACCCAAGGAAGATGAAGACAGGCTTCCAGATGGAAATCTAGATGTGGAAAGATTAAGGAGGAAAGAGACTCAATGGAGGAGTCTGCGGATGCTAGTGACCTGCAGAGAAAGAATGCAGCTGACAATGCAGGAAGAGGTCCTGGGAGGTATGAAAGCCAAGGTCATCCTGGGTGTGGATTCCCCTGGGGCTTGCTATTAATAAAATCCAGAATTCCAACCTTCCCTCTTGCAAATCCCCCTGAATCTGCATTTCTAAACACGCACCACCCCCCAATAAAAGTAATTTTTACGTAGGTGACACCCTGTGCCCCACCTAGAACACGCTTACATAGGGAGGCTGTTGAGGAAGTAGAAGTGGCCTTCTTCATAAAGATTCCAGGTGACTGGAATTCCTGGGAAGGCAGCAGGGCTGAGGAAAGGTTTTGGGGGTTCATGGTGAAGAGGTAGAAGCCAAAGGAGGGCAGGAGGTTGAGGAAACTGAGAGAGGAGGCCCCAGAGGAGAATAGGCCCTGACAAGGAAAGAAGAGGAAAGATGGAGCCAACCAAGAAGATGGTGGGCAGTGCACTTCCTGGGGAGGAGGGAGCAGAGGGAGGGGAGACACTGGCTTAAGGGCGGCAGCACACTGAGGGGCTCAAGATGAGAAGTCCCATTTTCTCAGTGAATGAGGAGCTGAGGCCACCCGCTGAGAACAGATGAGTTTAGAAGACACAGGAGGATGCCCGTTCCTCCTTCCTCCCCTGAGAAGTATCTGAATTTCAGCATCTGGCTTTTCATTCTTCAGCTGAGGTTTCATTTTTCAAGAATGTTTAAACCTTCTCCTGTCAATAAATTACCCTTGTCATCCCTTCACGATTGCCCTGCCTCCCTTTGCTGCTCTCTGCTTCCTTCCACATACATCTTAATCTCTTGTGCGATCTTCCCTTCACTCTCTTTTTTCTATTTTGTTTTTACAATACTTTCAATCATCTCCCAGCTGCCTCTCTCCGGTGCCCCTCATCCCCGACCCTTGCTGGGCCCCCAGCCCCCGGCTCCCTCCCCTCGTTGCTGGAAGTCTAGCTCCGCCCCCCACCCCCACCCCGTGCTCAGTTCTCCCACACTTGCATTGTGGTTCCTCCTGTGGGACTTTCAAGCAGGACGAGCTAAGTAATTTGCAGGGCACAGTGCAAAGTAAAAATGTGGGACCCCTTGTCAAAGAATGATGAAGAATTCCAAGACGGTGACAGCAGAGCATCAGACCAAGTGCGGGGACCTTCTGAGCAAGGGTTGCACACCCATGAAACTGGCCCTATGTGTAATATCTATTGCTTTAACTTACTGTTTATTCACATTCTCTGAACATGTTCTTTTCTTTTCTTTTTTTGAGACAGAATCTCACTCTGACACCTGGGCTAGAGTGCCGTGGCGTCAACCTAGCTCACAGCAACCTCAAACTGCTGGGCGTAAGTGATCCTCCTGCCTCAGCCTCCTGAGTAACTGGGATTACAGGCATGCGCCACCACGCCCTGCTAATTTTTTATATTTTTAGTAAAGACAGGGTCTTGCTCTTGCTCAGGCTGGTCTCGAACTCCTGGCCTCAAGCAATCCTCCCACCTTGGCCTAGGATTGGCCTAAGAGTGCTAGGATTACAGCTGTGAGCCACCACGCTGGCCTGAATACTTTCAATTTTGCCTCTGCCATCTCTAATGGCCACATCGATCTACTTTAAACTTGCTTGATTTTACACACCATAGCCAACGTGCTATAAAAAACAAATAGACATTCTGCCCTAATTGCTACTGTTCCTTTTCACCATCTTTTTCGGTGACCTGGAAGAGTGACATGAGATTCCCTTATAGGTGCAGCTGCCTGTGGACGTTGATGCTTGGGTGGTCCCTGCCATTCAAAGAACCTTGACGTCACACTGTAAAGTTCCAACGGCACTGAGGCAGCTTCTCCCCTATAAGGAGACCTGGAGGGGAGGAGGGTCAAGTCAGCCAGGCAATTATCCTGTGGAAATCACCCATGCAATATGTCACTCGGTGCATGGCTCAGAGCGCAATGACCAGTACTATTTCCTTGCTTGACTCCAGCTGGCAGCCAAGTTATTGATACAAAGCGGAAGCACCGTTTTAGACGAATACATTTCCTTCTAGACGTGGGGGGTCTCCCTCCCTTCATGCCCATGCATCCACCTGGGCGACATTCACTCCTGGTAGCCTCGTCTCATTTCTCTCTCACACACCCCCCAACCCAACGGTCCGGCCGCTTACTTGTTGGTTTGCCTCTGATGCTGAATGACCATGTTTTTCTCGTGGATTGTCTCCAGCAGTGCTGTCGCCAGAGATTTCAGGTCGGAAATGGACTGTGGAGTGGCTGGGAGACTGCACCCGTGATCCTCAGACAGCAAATCCTGGACTAGGTGGAATATGAAATTTATAACTCAGTTGTAATTCTTCTGGAACGCTGGAATGCAAACCAGTGTTACTTCTTCCTGGGCAATGATCGGTTCCCAGCTTCTAAACACTAGTATCTTATATTGAGAGGCCTCCTCAAGTGTCCAGGGTAAAACAAAATAAAATCCAGCATGAGGGCTAAACACAAAGGAGGAAGTCCTCACGGACTTCTATCCACGATTTTTAAAGAGGATGATAATATTTGCATTTGTCTGGGACTTTAAACAATGTCATACTGACTAACCCATTGAGACTTAAAATTGGAAGGAAAAAAAATGCTGGGAAGTATTATTTCCATTTCACGGACAGGAAAGCAAGGTGCAGATGAATCAAGGACACTGGCTGAAGGTCACGCAGCCATGCCAATGTCAATGACACCTAGCCCTGAGCTCCTTGCTTCATGTCAGAGTTTCCCATGCTCAGATACCCTTGGCAGGTGGCAAGTTAATTTAGGAGATTATTTAAAGTACAAAATACTTTTCACATTTTAATAGCTTTGTATTTATTTGAAGGTATTATAGAAAAGAATATAAATGGCATAACAAACCAGTGATTTCACAGATGCTACTATTAATACTTAGGACAAGCCAAGTAAAATGAGTCACTTTAAAATTGATTCAAAGAAAAATATTAAGCAAATAATAGCAAGGTGATGCAAAGATATGGCAAAAGATTACACAGCAGACTGCAAATGTCTAAATGTTGGGAAAGAGTACACTACACAAAGGCTAGCTGTTCTTGGACGCTCATTATTCCACAAACTGCCAAATCACATTCATGGCCAAGTTCAAAATGAAGCCAAACAACACACACAGTTCAGTGTAATTGAAGGATTCAGACCCATTTGATGTGGTCTATCTCCTGTCTATACCCGCTACCCTGGTAGAGTCTCTGTTGGTAAATCTGCAATCATCTATGGACAGCTCTGATAGAAAATTCTTTTTATTTTTTTGACCAATTTCAAAAGTGACTACTTAAAAAAAATAATTTCTTATTTGTCTCCATGCCATTTATATAAAGGAATATTCCAAGTGTGGTAAGACTAGCTTAGCCCATAGTAGGACTATCACTTCCTTTATTCCAAATGTTATATTTCTGTTAATATAATGTAATATAATATAAGATCTTCTTAGCTTCTTTGGCAATGAAACACACCTGATGAATAATACGAGAATACTGTCTACTAAAACCTCTATGCCTTTTTCACATGCGAGGCTGTTAAAACTCTGCTCCCCCGTTTATGTTTGGCTGGGCTCGAAATTGCTTAAATCATTCTCAGAAGCCGCCAGCCCCAACCATAGCATGGGCATGATCTACACACGCAACTTCTGCTGCTTCTCCCCGTCTTTTCTACCCTTGGGTCATTCAGATGCTCCTGCGTATGTGTCCTTTCTGACTCTGAATGTCTGTTCCTCGAGTCTGGTTTGGATTTTTTAGTGCACTCTTTAAGGGCAAATAAACTAAGACATAAACAAAAAGACAACAATGACTGGTACTCCCCTACCAGACAGAAAAAAAAAATAGCAGAAATCTTTCATTATATATCTTTGAAAACCATTTCCTATATGACTACACATAGTAGATACACAAATTCATACAATATTTTTTCCTTAAAAAATGGGAAACAAGCCCTACTTTTTTCACTTAATATTTAATAATATTTTTCATAATTAATATCCCATAAAACATAAAACCTAATGACTGCTGGACATTTATGGCACTTCCAAGGTTTTTCATTATAACTAACGTATGAAAAACTTTCTTGTAGCAAAATGTTCGCATATGCCTAATTATTTCTTGTTGGTTCAAAGAGGGCCAGTTTGAGGCTTTTCATAACAGGTTGCCATAGATTCGTATATTCCATTTACTAACGCCAATAGATTGTTGGTGGTATGCTTCTCACAATAGGTTTTCTAGAAAGGGTGCGCCAGATTTGCAGTTCTGCCACAGTGTTTGCGTGTGGCTGGCATCCCTCACATCAGTGATAACACTGGGTATCAACATTCAAAGATGGTTTGCTATATATGGTACCCAGATCTAAACTTAGATGGGCTACTTCACATTTTTATAGAGTATTGTAGTTTTCTTTTTAAAAACAATTCTAGGGTGTTCTTTTTTGGTTGAGTGGAAAAAAGAAGTTACTTGGAAAAGAGCCTTGGTTGTTATGTAGGCTGGAGACTCAGCACTTTTTTTTAAGCCACTCTAGCGCTGATTAAGACTGCCATATGATAGCTGCTGGTCCGCACTATCAACAACCAAAAAGTGGGCCAACCGAGCATGTTCAACTTGAGGCGTATGCTTAGAACTGAATTCCAAATATTAAGTGTCAGAAGCAAGCTCTCTGCTATTTATTCTCCTGGACTGTTCCTGGAAGATCATTATTTTTCATTGGAATCGACAAGAGGAGGAACAAAATTGCAATCAATAAAAACTTCTTCGAAAAAAGGCACCTATTCCATGATAAGAGGCTTTCAGCAGCTAAGGGACTTTCTGTTCTGATCATAGAGGCCAGGAAAAGAAGAAACTCAAGGAGGCTGGAAGACATCCTTTGAGATGCTAAATTGGTCATTAGGGAAGGGAAATCATTCTTGAAAGGCGAACACAGCGTAGGGGAATATACCCAAATGGGGTCCAGTCATTAGAAAAACTTCCAAGGCAGTGGTTCTCAAAGTGGCATCCCTGAACCAGCATTAGTATCACCAAGGAACTCTTCAGAAATATAATACATATTCTCAGGTCCCACCCCAGACCTACTGAATCAGAAACTCTGGAGTAGAGCCCAGTAATCCATGTTTTCCCAAGCCCTCCAGGTAATTCTGATGCAAGTGGAAGTTGGGGAACGACTGCTCTAAGGAGCACCGTGGTTCCCAATCCACAAAACCAGCAGTTTGGATGAGACCAGCATTCTACACTCACAAGCGGCCCCTCCCAGAGCATGAGATCTTACCTTGCTTTGCTGACAGGACTCCTGTCAGAGCACTGCTGCTGGATTTACCCTGGCCCTTTGAGTTTTTCCGTCTCTCGAGGGCATTCTAAAGCAGCATTGGGAGAGAATAAAAACCGCTGTCAGAAAAGCCAATAATGGAAACATACCTAGTAGATGCATCCTCCCACTGGCCCAAAGAACTCCTTGCAAACTCCAAATGCTGGCTTAAAACTTAGAACTCCAAGTCCCTGACAAAGGGTGATAAAGATCATGGGCCTGGTAGAGAGGTTTTTTACAATGGTGGCGCATGGCAGAATGACAGCAATTACAGTCCCCTGTATACAAAAGGTACTCAATGCATGTTTGTTAAATTAAATCAAATCTGAAGCAAGAACACAGTCTAATACGTGCAGTCACGAGTTACGGAAGTCCCTTCTGAATAGACATGAGATGGTGACGAGGGTTATTTTCATATACCAATGGTGGTATCCAGAAGAAGCTTATGGCTGGATTGGAAAGAAAGCCACGATGGATCCGTGATGTCTGCCGTGGACACAGATTAAGGAAGTGCATATGTGCCACCTACGTATCATTCCTAGAACAGACTCTTACATTCAAATTAATATGTAGTACATAGCCAGGGCTTGGCACATAGAACTGAATAAATATTGTTAAATGAATGCATCCACACATTTTAAAAAATTATGTATTAATTATACAACTTCAAAAGCTATCTTCTTCTTTGGCTGCATGTGTATATATAGATGGGTGTAAATGAAAGTGTGGCCAGACAGAAGGGAAAGGAACAGCATGGAGGCCTCTGAGAACAACTGCTAATGTCAAACACCAGGAAAATAAGGTTCTCCCTAGCATCTAGATGGCTTTAAAACTTCACCCTCAGGAAGAGAAATCAATCTATTTTCAAAGCAGAGAAACCCAGGAGATTTTTCTAATTATAACACTTACAACTAACATCTGCAGAAATAGATATTATCAAACTAATGGTGCTGGAATTAGACTAAATAACAGTGGGGAGAATTTAAACGCTCTGTTCTTTCAGTGTGACGTGAACATTATCGTTTAGTTTGTGATTTCCCAATCTATGTTTCTTCATCACTTGGAAACCATTTTCGTATGGATGATTATGAGACAAATAGCATCCGATGACTGAACGTTTCATAGAGAAAACAAACAAGAAACCTAACATGGACCGAGGCTGTAGAGTAGATGAGCCCACATTCCGGTGATCTCAGTGAGCCTTGTTCAGATAACAGCTGCAGAAAGAGCACTTGCGAAAGCTGCTTTGGCTTTGTTTGTTTTGTGTTTAATTTTTCCTGGTTACCCAGTTAAAGCTCTTATTGGACTCTATCTGGGAGGGCAGGCTAGTACTAAAATATCTTTGGCACATAAAAGAGAATTAAAATAGAATGACATTTAGATGTACAATAGTGAATCATCGTCACTGTCATTATGGTTTTTCTACCTTGTATTTGGCAACGTTCGATTTCAAAAGGGTGACCTCTTCATGGAGTTGCTTTAATCTTTCTTGAAGGTACCTGGAAAAGAATATATTTAACTAGGAAGTATTTGGGGGCAAAATAAAAAAAAAAAAAAAAACCAGACACTAAAGTATAAGAGGAAAAAACAAAAACCACTTGCCAGGAGAGTCCTCTTTTATACATCACACCTTGCCTGCTCACCACAGAAAGGAGGACAAACATGTGCATCTTTTTGACCTTTTCTTAAATGGATGTGGTCAAGGTCAAACGTGTCCAAATCACAGACACCCCACTTTCAAACAGCCCTTGCAGAGATCCCCTAAGGGATATCAACACAATTTTCGCATAATTCTCATTAAGATGATTCCACTGGGAAGTAAGGCAGGAAGAGGCGACACCAGACACAACATTAAGTTAGACACACACATACTGAAACCTGCCTCGGGGAAAAGAAACAGCTAAGGGAATTTCTCAATTTATTTTCTTATTCTTTTCCTTCTCCTTGATAGCAGTAACAAGCAGCTCTCACTGGTTTTTCACCCTTCTCATTCAACCAAGGAGGGTGTGAGGGAAGAGAGAAGGAGACAGGCACAGAGGCATGCAGGTGTGTGTGCTTTTTTCTTTTTGAATTTTACAACGAAGACACGACATTGATACGGTCGTTTTGGGGTTGTGACTTTCTTTTCTTGTGTAAGGCAATTTTCTGCAGCGTAACCAGGGCTATACTAGCCCCCAGCCCGCAGGCCCGTGGGGTGGGGAGCCAGCGCTCCGGCCCCGCGCTGGCCTGGGCCCGGCCACTTGCCTGTTCTCCATGCATAGGGCATCCACGTCAATGATGCGGTTCTCGTGCCCACCCAGGATATGGTTTAGCTCCTGGTTTAGCCTCTCCACCTTGTCCTGGTAGGAGGACCGCTCTTCCTTAACATCCTGAAGCTCATCCACAGAGGCCTGCAGGTCATGCTCCAAAGACTCAATCTGAAATCACAGGAAGCGCCCTGACTTGAGACGTTCCTCAGACGTCCCCTTTATGGCCAGAGATGGAGCCTTCTGCCTGCTTGACTGACTTTTAGAGAGCTTATTATTAATAATATGACCCGCATGCTATAAAACCTTAAGTGCCATACATTGGAATATGATAAAAGCTAAAAGCAAGGGGAAGACTTCCTGCCAGATACTTACTCTATCTGAGATAGCGGAGGTGCAGCGGCATGGAAAACCTGAACTGAAGCCTCACCTACCGTAGGACGCCCTGCAGCCAAAGGCTCGGAGAGGGCGAATGCAGACATTGGGGATGGCTGCCAAGTGTCTTACAGATCCACACGTTTTCAAATCCACTCTAGACCCAGGAATTTGGTTCTGCTCTTCAAAATCAATTTGTAGGAGGAGAAAAATGAAGCCTGGATCTCTTAGCTGTTCCCTAAGTAGGGTTCCAGACTTGGCCTAGGAGGTATCACTCAGCATTTTAGCAGAAACTTGCAAATTAAGGCCAGTTTGTCACATTTTGTTCCCTCCTGTCTATACTGGGTAGGGAGAAAGTTTTGTGTTGTGTTCAGAACGACAGCACCCAATGTGAAGGAGCTGACCTGCTGGACACCAGGAACCCAAGAGTCATCTTGGGAACCCAGTGCGGTTCCAAGGAAGTACAACCATCCAACTTGCATTCTCCTTCCTCCTCGGGCTTGCTTCCCAGGCATCCCGTACTCTGAGAGCAGGGGCACAGCCCACTCTACTTGTGTTGTGTCCGCCCCCCAGTCTGAACACATGCTAGCGATAACCTGTTCCTTGGCTCTCTCCAGCTGCTGAACCAAGTCTTCACGCTCATGGGCTGCAAAGTGGCGCACGCCAATTTCTTCATCTCCAAGCCTTTGTTTGGCAATTGTCATCCTCAAGAGCTGCATTTTCCATTAGTAGAAAAGGAAAAGGGGGCAGGGAGAGAGAGAAAGACACAAAGAGAAAGAGAGTAAGAGAGAGAGAGAGAGAGAGAAAGTGAATAGATCCAAACAAAATTCCCAAAACACTAAAGCAGAAACTTTTGGAAGGTAAGTATGATTCTTTCAAGAAATACCAGGGAAAAAGCACAAGACAAAGAAATTACTTGCTGATATCATGAATTTGTTTTGAAAAATTGAAAATATTTATTGTATTTTGTGCACACGTGCAAACACACACTATAAGGAGGCCAGGGCACCTGAGGTTGGCTGTCTGGTGGAACACTGTCACAAGGAGGAAACAAACTCTGGGTCCCAGTTAAATTTAGCAAACATTCAAAAATGATAACCCAGTGCTGGAAGGATCTGCTGAGATGGGCACACTCTCAATTCCTAACAATGAGGCAATGTTACCAACAGTCCTAAAAATGTCCCTACCCAATGATCCAATAACTCTATTTTTGACAATCTGAGCTAAGAATAATCCCAGACATGGACTAACTTTAGGGGAAAAAAAGTAGAGAATAAAAAACTAGAATAAAAAAACTAGAAACAATGTCTAACAGTAGTAGAATGGTTAGCAAACTATAGTGCAACCAAGCAATGGGCTAATTTGCAGTTGTCTGCAAGGAGGCTCGTGTGAACTATGTAATACCATGAAACATGCTTGTGCTGCCATGTTAAGTGGGGAAAGAAAGCAGAATACTAACTTTCCTATAGAGAATGATTAAAATTATACTAAGAATTCACACATGCACACACACACATATACACAAAATGGCCAAATACACCAAAATATTAAAATATGTATGTTAAGTGATGGTGATACTGCATGCTCTTTGCTCTTTTCTTTGTTTTCCAACTTTTAAAATAGGTATGCATGAATTCCATAATATAATTTTATTTATATTTAAATCCCTAGGAATAAAATTCCACTCTTCTAAAATGTCATTTTCCAAAAGATCCCTATGCAATCCATGGCTTCCCCAGACTCCAGGGCCAAGCCCCACTTGCAGCTCCAAACCTTCTAGGCAGGGCTGCAATGGGAACTCCATGAGGGGCCCAGCAAGACCTCACGGTCCCAGAGCATCCCCTCCCTGCCCGTCATGGCACCAAGCAGGCTGCCATTGAAGAGTGGCTTTTTAAAGTTACAGATCCACTTCCTGATGCTTCTTCTATAGAGGATTTAAGCCTGATCCCACATCTCCCTGCGGGGTGGATGTGGGTGGATTTCATACATGGATAAGGTCTTGGGGATGGTTTTTCGATGTCACACTTACCCGACCCAGCCAAGAGTGGCTGCGGGGGGCATGCTCTTCCTCATTCCTGCATGAATCTTAAGGGATTAGTTGCCAGTAGAGAAAATGGCTTAATTTTCAGAGTCTCTGAAGGATTTATGGGCAGGTGAGAGATAGGAACTTAATTTAAGCCGGGACAGAATATTAACTAAATTGAAATAATAAATAACAGCAAGGAACTTTGAAAGAAATGATGACTAGAGAAAAGTAAAGAGCATTTTCAAATGACACTTACTCTGGGTCCCTCTTTGAAAACTACTCGATTGAACTGAGCAAATATTTACTGTGTACCTACTGAGAGCGAAAGCACCACCAGGATCGGGTGGACGATATCCCAGCAGGTGGAACAGACGGTGCAAAAGCCAGCTGGGCAGAGGATGTAGAGCACTTGGGTATACAGATGGCTGCACTTAATGGAATCTGATCACAGTCAATCTTCATTATTCACACATTCTGTATCCGCGAATCAGTCTACAGGATAAAATTTATTTTTTGCCCCCAAATCGACACTTGCTTTGCTCTCGTGGTCACTGTCCAGCGTGTGCATGGTGGTGGAACATTCTAGTCGCCCGACATGCACATTCCTGCTGAGGATGAACAAGGCCACGTTCTGCCTTCTCGTTTCAGCTCTCAGGTTGTACACAAGTGTCCTTTTCATGGTATAGTTAGTGCCACATCTTCCACATTTTTGTGCTTTTTGTTGGTGACTTTGCTGTTTAAAGTGGCCCTCACATATAGTGCTGAAGTGCTGGCTCAGTTCTAAGTGCAAGAACCCTGTGGTGTGCCTAACAGGGGCAGTATGTGTGTTAGAGAGGCTTCCTTCAGGCAGGAGGGATAGTGGTGTTGAACTTGTTAGTTCAATGTTCATGAATTAACCATAATACTAAATAAGGAGACTTTAAACGGAAGGACACATAAAACAAGATTATGACTGATCAGTTGACAAAGCCGTCATGATCAGAGGCTCACAGGAACCTAACCCGGCATTTCCCCTAGGAGCAATGGTTCAGAATTGCCCAATTCAGTATTTGCAATCACTCCACAGAACATATTTATGGCAGAACTGGTTAATTCAATTGAAAGCTGATGTGTGAAAACATGTTTAACATCACACAATTCTCGGCTTGGGACATCAGAACCCCAAAAGTGGATATACAGAAAGACAGACAGCAAGCCAAGCAAGAAACATTTCTCAGACCCGAGGGTGTAGGAAAAGCAACCTCCTGCCCTACGGCATGAGGCAACGGGAGGCCCGGTTCGTGTCTTTGAAAGCAGGGTATTTTCCTTGGTATGTGAAAAGCCAGACTGACAGCTTGAACTTTAAGTAATAAAACACCACTGTGGTTTTCTACTCACAATACGCTTCACTGAACACTTAATTTAGAATCACACAATTACGTTTGCTTAATGCCAATTAATTATTAAACATGTTTATTGAGGTCTGACAGCCATATAAGAGAGTCGTCTTTTATATACTGGATGCCTGTTAAGCTTCAATAAATATGTTAACAATCATTTGGTGTTTAATGTGCATACAATATCGGCTGTTAAATCTCAGGGCTGGACTGGCTGAAACACTTATTTTTAAAAGTGAGGCCCAAGTTGGTAATGCTTGATCATTAGTTGGGTCTGAAACTCAAGTACAGTCAGCTGAGGGGGCCTAAGGAGGTCCCTGCAGGAGGGATGGCAGAGCCCCAGAGAGAGAGGTCTCCTGTCTTCTCAGCAGATGACTTGAGTGCTCTGGAGTGGGCCTGTCTAGGGCTTGTACCCTGGCACCACAGTCTCCGAGCTGTGCAACCTCAGGAATTTGTCTGAACTTCTCTGAGCCTCAGTATCCTCCTCTGTAAAAACACAACAGTAAAAGTATTAGCCTCCTTGGAGGGTTGCTGTAAGCATGAAGTGAGAGAGAGTGGGTTTGCATTAAATGAACACTTAACTTAGGGAAGTTCAGTGCTCCCCTATGTTTGAAAAGAAAAGGAGGGGGGACCAAAAAATTGGAGGAAAAGGAGGATGAGAGAGAAATAATCAAAAAAAATCGGGTGATTCTACCCATTCCTCTGCCCAGTGTTCCAGCCTGAGAGTAAGGCGGGACAGGAACTGATAATACATGTGTGCAAAGTCATATTGTCCCTAATTACACATAATACTGCTTATCAGAAGCACACATATGACCTGAAATTTTTAGACAACTTAAGGGACCATCAAGGGGAATTTTGGCTAAATGCAAGTTTCTGCCTCTTCCACGCTGACTTCAGAAGCTAACCCTAAGTAAGAGAAGATGCGACTTCTCTACCACACTCGGCACAGGCCCTGGAGCATAAAAACTGCTTAATAAATGTTAGCTGCTCTTATGATTATTGCAATTGTCATCATCATCATCGTCACCCTCCGGTTATGTCTCTCCACACATAAGCCCACCAGGGAGGTCCGATCTTTCTTCCAAGCTGGAGAAAGCGGAGCTCCTGAGCCAACCTTATCTGTAGCGTGCAGGCAAATGATGCTGATTTTCCACCTTGGAAAAAGGCTGGGAAGCAACTGCTCGGGGCACTTAATTCCCGCAAAGAGGGCCGTCCAAATTCCACAGCCAGCCTCCCCGTGCCAACCCACAAAGTGGATCGGTGCCCTCCACAGCATGCGCTCTGCCACCAATAGACGCAGTCATTTGCTGATTTAGATAGAAATAAATGTTTATGAATGAATTACGGGTGTGCGTCGTCAGCTTGCGGATGAGGCGCAGCTGCAGCTGGGATGTGGCTGAGGGACAAGGCCGTAAAACAATGTGGTAAAATGGCTTTTGGGTGCCCTTCCCCCGACTCTGCCAAGGACCTGCTCAAACTGTCCTGCACGAGGCCTGTCTAGGCCTCCTGAGTGGAATGATCTTCCTTGATCCTCAGATCTTCCTTGATCTCTTCTCAAGCTTTATCTCTCACAACCCTCAACAGTTTCGACCTCATCTTGTTTTCATTTGCCTTAATCCATTTTACCCAACACACAGTGAGAGGCAACCAGGCGCGGGAACAGCTATTCTCTGGGTGTTATCTGTGTTCAGATCCAGCTTTTGCTAATCCTAGCCATGTGCCCTTGGCAAGCTGTCCAAGCTTGGTGGGCCACATGTGACTTGGTTTTTTTAAAAATTGGGAATAAAGGCTATCTTGTAGCTAAGACAGCCATGTATGGCCGTCTAGGCTGCACACTGCACCACCGCAACTCTGGGGTCTCCATTCCCACAATGTGAAGATACAATGCAAGGACCACTGTTCACGTAAATCTCCACCAAGGTTTAAAAGTGCAACCCCCACTTACAGTTGGTTACAATCCTTACGCAGAGGCTCTCTATTTGCGAGGGCCATTGAGAGGGTCAGATGAAAGAATCATTAACAGAAAGTGGACAATAGTAGCCCTTCCTCAGCCCTAGTCCTCCTGTACTGCCGCAAACAGCACACCTGGGGAGAGGTCAGCACCAAAAGGCATTTATTAAACATTCACCGGGTGTGGTGCTGTGCTGTTTTTTCCTGTAGGTTTTCTCCACATCCTCTCCAACTGCCCCCTGGCCTTCTGGAAATACCTTCGATAAAACTGGACACAAGATTTAAAAGCCTCCACGCTATTGAGTACACCAGAGTCCAAATTCCTAGACTCATATGGCATGCCAGTTCTAGCTTCAAA